CATTCAGGTTCAAGTTGAGTTGCAGATGAAAATCACAAGACAAGAGAGAGACTGAGGTCAGAAACTGGGCACTGGCTAATTTTGGATGATTTTCATGGGGCTCGTGAAGCAGCTGAAGTGGAACCCAATGGGTTAAGAGGGGAGTTGGGGGTTAAGACGGTGATGCGATTTGGGTGCCCATAAAGATAATGCCATTGTTACATCCGATTAGCCGGGCTCAACTTAATTAGATCGAAGCATGACTTTTAACTTTTTTTGATTATAACAAATTTTCATTATTTTGATATTATGGCCGTTGTTTGGATTAGCAAACGAAAATTAAATAGAAATTAGAGGAAATGAGAGTGGAAAAAAGGGAGAAAACTGCAGAAATATAGCAGTTGTGAAAGAAGTTAGAAAGGTTTCCAAAATCATTATTAAAAGGGAAAGATTGAATCCATTATATTTGTGGATTTCTTTTGTTAACAGAGTGACTTTTAAAAAGGAGAATAGTAGAGAATATTGATTACGATTTGGGAATGAAGAAAAAAGATAAATTAATAAAATGGAGTAATGGAAGTGAATTATTTTCTCAAGAATAGACAAGGTAGTTACTATTAAATTGGTATGTTTGTAGATCTAATTTTATAGTATTTTGTTTCAAAGTAATACTAAGAATTTAACCAAGGTTTTATATTTTTTTTCAACTGTCTGTCCCTGATCTATACCAAAACTAAACACATTATTTTCAGACTGATTCTGTCACCAACTCTCCATTTGTTTAGACGCCATCCTTGTGTGCAATTAAAGTGTCCATTGTTCACCCTCATTCCTCATTTTGATTTATTTTTTTAGCCGTTTCGTTTCGGCTTTTTGTGTTTGTGTGGCAAATGCAGTCACATTCTTTTAAATACCAATTGGGGGTCAGTTAGTCCGTTGGTCAAGACTCAGGAATTTGAGCAAGTGCTTTGTTATTCGTTATTGCTGGCATAGCAAACGAGTTTAAATGCGGAGAGTGGAACTTGGCTTGCTCGCCGCTCTGGCTTAATAAATTAATTTATAACTCTTGCTTTTTCTCCTACCGCAAAACACGTTGACCTTCAGGCCGCATAACCGATACATGAGTCTGTCTGTAAAAACACCCGTCTTATATATACGTATGATTTTGTATTTTCGCTATATATGCTTATATCTGTCAGTCGAATTAACAGTTACGTCTCAAGTGAAGCCAAAAGGCCCCAGAGGCTGTGCTCCAAGGGTGGGAATCTGATTTTCGGATGGAAAGTGTGGCCATTGAATATCTGTATACATACATATATACAATTTATAATTGGCCAAGAGCTGGGCTTTAATTCGCCAAATAAGCTCTGTATTTATTTATTTTTCTTTGTTCCAAGTGCTTTTAGGAAGTCCCAAATAATTCAAATAAATACCTTAAAAGTTTGTCAAATATTTTTTGTAAGCGCCAAGGTATTTTCCACAAAGAAAAAAGAGTTTAATGACAGAGCCTGATTTGAAAGTGGTTTTCAATCATTTAAAGATTAATAATGAAAATTGATCAAAAATTCTTCAAATTGCTAAAAGACAGCTTCATAAAATGTAAAACTAACACATTTTAAGAAATAATGATTGGCGATAATTGACTGTTGATTTGGATGCTTTTAATGCTTACAAATTATGAATAATTTTTCATACGTTTAGTTTGAACTTTAAGAGCGATTTAAAAGTATCGAGAGCTGCAGCTGGATTCAGCCTGAACTCAAATATCAAAGAGAGCACACCCGGCTCATCCCACCCCCTTGGACTGTCGACGTGTTAATGATTTGCATGTTCCCAAATCAAAGCCGAGGTAGACCCCCTTAACCCCCGATTGCCCCATAGTTCGCAGACATGGCTGGTTAGCGTTGTTGTCGCTGTTGTCGTTGTCATGGAATTGAATCATCCCGGCGGTCTCTGGAGCATGTCTCTGCTTAACCCGCTCCCCCGTTAACCCTCTGGTGCCGGTGCCGGTGGCGTATACGTAACGAGCAGAAACAGAAGCGGGGAGATGTGGGGTGGGGGGGAGAAAAAAATGGCAAATTTTGCAATGAGGCTGAAGGCAGATCCCGATGCACGTGTATCTGTGCATCTGACAGATACAATTACCAAAGCGATTGCACTGGGAATGCTGGAATTTCAGGCCAATGCGGCTTAATAGCCCAAAAACCGGTAACTTAATGACACTCTTCTATAATGCTTTTTGAATAAAATGCCAAAACGCATCACCCCCCGCAGGTCGCCCCTATATATAAATATACATTCACTTTTTTTTACCACTCCGCTCATCGGGTTTCACTTTCAGCCGCCTGCGAATTCCGATTTGCCAATCTGGAAACCTTTCCATGTCTGCGAGGCGGATGTACCGCCTCCGGGGTCAAATTATATGTATATATTCGAGATCAGCATCTTCGGGATTTACTTTGGCGAAGGGAGTTTCAATATTCATCCGATTTATAGCTTGCAGATGACATTACATCGCATAATTGGGTTTTGCATTTAATACAAAGCATTCATTGTTTGAAGACTCTGCTTTTTAAGCATTTTTTGAGGAAGATTTATGCATTACCAAATTATAACAATTATAAATTAACAAATAAACTTTAACAATCATACTATTGATATTAAATGCTTTGGGAAGTTAAATACCCTTACTTAAAATGTTCGAAACAAAATAAATAAAAATTGTATAACGCTAAAATGAAAAGCCTTAATTTTTATGTCCGAAAAATACAGTATGTGAACTGTTGATTCAACTTTAAATGGCATTTGTTTTATACATTTTATTACGAAAATTTCGTAACATTCATTTTTAGCAAATTAAGTGTTGTTTTAATTCTAAATGGCATTATTATTATTATTTATAACGTGAATTTCATCACATTTAAAAAATGTAATCAATTTATTTAACCATTTGTATATAGTTTTAGGGGGGATATTATTGATTTAACTGTTTTAAGGCTGTGACTTGTGATAGAAACCTGTAAAAATCAAGCCAACCATGGGAAAGGGTATTGAATTGAAAATCAGATGCTTGGATGGGGGGCTGAATTAATGTATGCATAAAGCAGATGGAAGATCGACTGAATGGAGGCTTGGAATCGCATCGGATTGGATAGGATCGACTCGTCTTGGTTTCAGTTCACTGTCATTGTCTTTTGGGTGCGCCTGCGTTGGCGTTGCAACTTGCAACTTGCGATATTGCAGTGTTGCAGTTTTGCTCTTGTGTTGCATTGCATTTGCAAATTACAATTTTCGTTGGCTTTATTTTCTGGGGCTGGGCCTCCGATTTCCGCCTGTTGGGGAGACAAAAGGCAAAGCCAATTTCCTCTTCACACGCATTTTTGCGGCCTGACGTCAAACGGAATGGCAGAGATGATGAGTATTATTGGCCTTTTGGCTAGTATTCAGCTGCTCATCTGCCAGCACTTGTCGCCAAACTCGTTTCGCCCCCGCGGCCCCACAGAAAACGTGGCCAAAAATAAGTTCAAGCCGAAAATTGACAAAAATAACAAAAAGCGGGCCATAAAATGAACAAAAAAATACAATTCCTAAACGAGTTTTCTGCGCATGCGCAGCAGAAAATTTGCATGAGCAAGAGAAATATCATAGGTTCGGGGCAGATATATGCCTCATCGAAGGTCCAAGCGGATGTACAGCCTCACTTCGATTATATTTCGATTCGATTTAAGACCCTGGATAGTAAAAGCTAATGCCACAGACTGAGATTGATCTTTATAGACCCATCCGCCGTCATCTTTAATATGCGTGCAATGTATCTCGCTACGATTTCGGTTCGTGTTTGAAAGTTTTGCACTCGATCGCTTCGATTAGCATGGGAATTGCAATCGCCAACGTCTTCGACGTCTTCAGAGGTGTTAATCGGGTAAAAGTTTCGCCATTACATAAGCCTAGAGATCGTAAAAATGATTTTCGTCAAATTTATGTAGGCGTGCATCATCCCTCATTCCTCTCACTTTTTGTGCATTCCCCACCGGAATGATAACTAATCAAACATTTGATTTCTAAATTAACAAAGTGTTCAAATAAAATCTTCATTTATTTAAAAATAACATGTACCTATTTAATTTGCAATTGTCCCAATACCAGATAATATTGGGTATAAGAAATAATACATCATTTTACATTTTCTTGGGATATCTAGACTTTTAAAAACATTAACTATAAACACCACAGAAAATCAAAGGTAAGCTATGAAATATTTGATTTCGGCATTCATATGTAGATATATAAGGAAGGCATATTTTAATGGGCCATTATAAATACTTTAAGATCTTGATCTTATCTTGATTTGACTGATTTTAAATGTCTGCCGTTTTCAGTAACACACCTTAAAGTCTTCTTCTTTAATGAGTTTTAAATCAAAGCCCCGAAAGAGTTATAAAATAAGCTGACAACCTATAAAAATTAGCAAATCTTCTTTAACTATCACAAAAAAAAATACTTTTACTTTCCATGGAAGCTACTAATCAAGTTGGAAACCTATCTCCAATCCCAGAAGAATTTTTCGCGCCCAGCGCGATGTGTCACACATTAATTATGCAATCATCTAAGAGAGACATATTAATATCAAGTCAAACCGGGCAAACGAAATCGAAATCGCGGCCTCGATGAATAATTCAGTTCGACGAGAACGAAGAAGAGGAACCAGTTTTCTGTCGATCTTTCCTGATCAGTTCGCCCTGGGCAAGGATAACAACTTTCGGTTACAAAGCTGGGCCCGCCGATCCTGCCAAGGTTGTCCAAACACCCCATTTCCACCTCAGCCCCTTTTTTGTTGGCCAGGAAATCCAGTCGCTATGCCGAACTGGACTAAATATTTACGGCTTTTTGGCCAGATTTGCGCTAATTGCGTACAAAATGCGGGCAACAAAAGCGGCAAAAACAGCGAAATAAAAATGATTTCTCAGTTTTGCAGTTAATGTCGAGTTTTCGCAGTTTTCTCAGTTGCTGCAACCACTTACCGGAAGCATTTTGGCGGCTTTTTGCTGGTCGAGGTGGCAATACAAGGCTCCTTTGGGCTAGATGTTGCTGCTGGCAATGGTGTTGCTGCTGCTCTTGTTGCTGCTGCTGCTGCTAATGTTGCTGCTGTTGTTGTCGCTGTTGCTGTTGCTGCTGCTGTCGTTGTTGTTATTATTTCAGTTAAACGCGACGACAACGACGAGGAGGAAAAAATAACGCTAAGATTTAGTGTGAGATTTTTTGTCGTTAGCTTTTGGAAAATATTTGCTCAGAAAACTGGGCTAAATGCGGTTGCAGTTGTTGTTGTTGCTGCTGCTGGTGCTGCTGCTGTGTCTGTATTTTATGCAATCTGCACAGATCTTGGCTAAATGCTCCACTGCCTCCCAGCTACAACAACAACAAACAACAACAACAGCAACTACTGGAGATGCCGAAAAACCAGGCCGAAAGTAAAAACTGTTACACACGTCTGCGCATTCAGTTTTTCACTTTCGGCCAGGCGCGGCGGCGCTCTTTTTGGCCCAATAACTGAATAACTAAATCCGAACACACATATCAAATCGCAGAAAAACTATCTGCAAAATTTTCCACATTCACTCGAGGCACGCAAAAACCAACAAGAAAAATAAAAAAAACAAGCGGCCAGCAAAACAAACAAAAAGAAAAATCCAAGAAAAGTTCCAGCCACGAACTAAGAAAAAAACTGAGTATATATTTTGTATGCACGGCCAATGGCGAGTTACCGCTAAAGCCAACAATACCGTTCGAGAGTCGCCGCTGCACTGAATTCGTTTGGTGGCCAAAAAGCGTGGCCAACAGCAGCAGCCAGCAAACAGCAACCAGCAACCAGAAAACCAGCAACATGCGACATAACAGAGGCCAGCAGCAACAGCAACGGCAACGGCAGCAACTAGCAACACCAACCAACCAGTTGCTGCGCAGCCGCAAAAGCCGTCTGTTAAACCAGTTAACATGGCACTTTTGGCCAAGTTAACTGACAGCAGAGAGAAAAAACTCACAACAATCGGAGTTCTTGGGCCCTAAAATTACGAACAAAACAAACAAAAAACAATGCAAACTAATGGGGCTGCTTTAATTATGCCCCGGGACCAGAAAATTATCAATTATGGACACACTTTTGCGGTTTTAGCGTTAAATGGCAGTGAAATCGGTTAGTAATTGTTGGCCATAATAGAGTTAAATAGGGATTGCGTAAAACATTCTGTCTGGGGTTGAATATAAGAGGACTTCAACGGCAGAGTAGAAATAATTTAAAAATTTAAATAAGCTTGATTTCGAAACCATAAAAAATACTTAAGTCAAAATGTTATTAATAATTTTGAGTCTAAGGTGATTCCCCTAAAAATACATGTATGTATATTTTGATGAATAAAGTTCAAGTTAAAGTTAATAAATATATATTTATTTAGTACATGTTTGAGTTTAATGGAATTTAATTTATTTTTAAAATATATCTATGCCATTTCTAACATTCTTTTATCTTTGGCACTCTATGCAAATTTAAATTATGAAGAAATACAGCTTTATTGGGATTCCCAGAAAAATACTTTCATTTAATTCCATTAAAGTTAAACATAATATTTATAATCCTTTAATTCTGTCTTTAAGCCCATGACATTTGGATGCATAGTATTTTTCATTTATTGAATTGAATTTGTGAAATTTTCTGTAGAAATCTGTGCGAAAGTTAAATACCCCTCTGCTGTTTGCCCGCCAGCATCTTCCCATGGCTTTGAGCCGCTTTTTAGATGATGCCCCGAGCTTTTGTGGATCATCTTGGGATTGGAGTGTTCGATATATTGCAACAGGTGATGATGTTGCTGCTGGTCGAAGGTGGTTAATGGGCTTAATTTGTTGCGCACACAAGTGTGTCTGGGTATTTCAAAAAAACCACATTTTGGGTTTGGCCGGAACTCAAAAATCAATTCAGTGTCTCACACACACTCACACACACATAATAATATTGTAGCTGACCTTTGTTTTGGACCCACTTCCAATTCCCAATTCCACAGTCAGAAAAAAGAGTTTACATAATAGGCATTAAATGCTGTCATCGAAATGCCAACGGCTGCCAAGCGGCGGCGCGAAATGAATTTCAAATATTTTATTAAGCGATTTGCTTATGCCCATTACTGTTGTTGTTTTTGTATCTTTGGTTGTTACTGTTATTGCTTTGGGTCTTTCTTCTTCCTCTTTCTCCATCTACATCACTCCACTCCCAACTTAAATCTTATATGTGACTTTGCCCGCTTTCTGCTCCCCAATATTTATTTGGTGTTTTCATGCCCTTCAATGGGGTATTCCAAATTATCTATTAGCTTTAAACCCGAACTATTCCTTCTATTATTATTATGATTTCTTGAAAAATGTTCAAACATAATTAACCCATATCTGTCAGTCCGGTCTTAAAGGATTCTTTATTAAAGACAGTGAAATATGGTTTTTTAGTTAAATATTTGCCTAACTTAATATGAAAATTTTCTTAATATTTTATATTTCACAAAAAAAGATGATTTAAATAATTTCTTTTTTTTTATGCTAATTAATATTAATTAATAAACTGATATGGGAAAGGTAATTGTATTATTATAAGCTCTTACTATATTTATTCGAGCTATTATGATCTAAAGTCAGAGTATAGTGGATACTATTTGTCAGTCATATTAATTCCAAATAATTCACAAGCCCAGAGTATTTGAATGTTCATTTATTTTCTATTTTAAGAGCTGTCTTCTCATTTCATTGAATTTCATTTCATTTGGTTTCGTTTTTAGTTTTGCTTTTGCCTTTTTCTTGCTTTTAAGGGCAATCAATCTCGCATTTGGTAACTGCCATTTGCCCAGCCGAACACAACACACTCGCGTGGATGACGATAATGATACGATAATCATCTCCAGGATGACTCACGTTCGCTCCTGGCTGTTAAATGCATCCGCTGCAAGTAGCCCTCCCCAGAGTTCCCATATGGCGTATTTATATGCACCCATATATACATATCTATACATTCAGGGCACGCAGAGAAGCAGCTCAGACCTCGAGGTGCCCAACTTCCGTTTGGAAGGGGGAGCACTGGGATTGAGATAAGAAGGTAGAAGGTGCAACCAAGGAGGAAGTCAGAACACAGAACACACACAGTCCGTTAACTGAACGGGTAATGGAGTGGGTGGGAGTCACAGAAATAAATATAATCCCATGAAGAAAACAGTTTATTTCGCCGCTTTGTGGATTAAAAGATTACACAGAACCTTGAAACAAGCAAATCCCTGATAATGCTATTGAATCACAATTTATAAAGAATCCTGTAAGCCAATGTTTAAGTCGAAGCAAGTAAAATGAATTTATTATTAGAAAATCTCTTTACGTTTTATTTGAATTGTATACAAGTCTCAACAATAAATGCTTTAAGTAAGGACTCTAAAAAATAATCAGTTATTAAGGCTTAAGGCCCACAAAAATATTATTTGGCATAGCTTATGAAGTTTAGGTGAATATAAATAAATAATTAATTTTTAACAAAACACAAAATTAAAATTAAGCATTAAGAATAAGAAATGAATATATAAGAGTATTTTAAAGGAAAACATATAATAACCTATTCAAAAAGACGTTTTTTGTATAATTTGTTAATGACTAAATGTTTAAAAGGATATTATCTTCATTAGCATAGTTAATTTAGCATGCCAATGTTCGAAATAATTAAGATAAATAAAGTAATTACCTAGGCCTCCATCAGACTAGCAAGATCCTCCTGGATCTGCTGCCAGTCGAACTCCATGCGGCCATCCTCCAACTTAAGGCGACATCGCTCCGGGATGTGCTTAAAGAGTCGCCGGAAGGGGCCATATTGCTCTAGGCACTGGATATCCCCCAGCAGGATTAGCTTGTTTTTGGCACGGGTGATGGCCACTGTAAGGCGGCGCTGATCCTCCAGGATCTCTGCCTCTCGCGAGCGTTCCATATCATAGCATTCGCCTCCCGTTTTCGAGCAGCTGTATATTATAATATTTTTATCCCTGCCTTGGAACTGATCCACAGTGTTGCATTCCAAGGCGGAGTCCAGTTTGGCGGCTAGCTTCTTGAGGAGCTCTACCTGGGCGCGATAGGGAGCTATCACTCCAATCCTGGATGCTTCAAAGCCTGATTTCAGTAATTGCCTGAGCAACTGCATCACTATGCCCGCTTCACAGTAGTTTGTGTACTTCGATACTCTTCTCTTGGTCTGCTTTCTACTCTCCTCTTTGTCTTCTCCAAAGCTTTGCTCTATGGAGGAGCATGTGGCGACCAGTTGCTGGGATGCCTGAACCAATTCCTGGCAGCGTTCCAAGCAATCTCCTGTATTTATCAGGGTTACAGCCTGTTCTATATGAGTTTGCAATGCACGATGAACCCACCTTGGTGCTTGTGATGATACGTCCACTTGAAATCTGGCGGCGGAAACCTCCTCCGAGGCACATTTAAGGTCTCCGCCATAAGTGAGCTCATTGGCCAGCCGGGTGATGGTCTTGTTCATGCGGTATTGCATGCTCAAAACGGCGGTGGCTTGCTCCGAGTCCAATCGCTGAAAGAGGGTTTCATCCGCGCCCCTTTGACGGGCTTCCTTGGATCTGATAATCGGCGGTAACTGCTCAGGGTCTCCAACGAGGACAAATTTGCTGCAGTAAAACAATGGGCGCAGCACAGTGGGCTGCAACACCTGGGTGGCCTCATCTACGATGCAATAATCGAACTGGCGACGCTGGAAGATCGGGTGTCCAGCTCCCAGACAGGTCACGCCCACAATGGCTGGTTGTGCCAGAGCCTTCTCCAATTCCTCCACTGTTTTGCAGTCCTTCGTCAGCCTTTCTTCGCTGATCTCCTCCAGTTGGGGAAGAATCCTGGACCTAGAACCCAATCTCATCATTGGCAAATCGAAGGGCAGCAGTCGCAGCAGGAGATTGTCCACAGCCGAGTGAGTTTGGGCCGTGATGAGCACAGTTTTCCCGAGGAGATGAAGCAGTCTGACCAGGGAAACCAAAGTCTGCGTTTTACCAGTGCCAGGGAGACCCTTAATCAACAGATGGCTGCTGGTGGTCAGAGCTCGCAATGCAGCCATCTTTTGTACCTTGTTTAGCTGCACCAGCATGGATGCTCCTTTGGTGAGAATGATCTTGGGCACAACTTTGTGCTGCTCGGGTGGCTTCTTGGCCACTATTATATCTCTCAGCTCCTGGAAACGCTCACCATCGGAGAGCAGCAGTCCAAGATTGGTAAAATTAAAAGTGGCAAAGGACTGCGACTCATGCTTGTCCATCACGAAGGTTTCCTGGGCATAATGCTGGCTAAGATCGCGCTCCAGGCGGAGATCTAAGCAACGAGCTTCCAACGATACAATAAAACCAGAGGCAATGGCAAGGCGAGAACTAGAACTAATCACCACATATTCTCCTACGTCGAACTAAAAAAAAATAAGAATAATATAACTGAAGTTTTACGATGGGATTAAAGATAAATTTACCCCACTGAGGCTTAGATCCAGACTACCATCTGCTTCTTCACTGAGCTCCAGGCTCTGACGATAGCGTCCCTCATCGAATATCACTTTTTGACCCTTCACGAGCCTCAGCTTACCAATGGCTGTACCCTGTTTTTGCCTCTTCACAGGATCCTCCGTCCAAAAGGATCTTAATTGCGAGGACTGACGATTGTGCTGCTCCTCTAAGGCCAGCAATCCACACCAGTGCTGCACATAGGCGTGATCTGGCTCCTTGAGGTGCCCCAATAGTTGTGGCATAAGTTTCTTGAGGGGATGTGAGTCACTGAGTTCTAAACTGCAATCGTGTTTGGCGAAACTGGAACAGATGGTGTTGTAGGCGCAGTTACCACATGCGCTGTGATGGTAAATGGGTTCCGGCAGCTGCATTTGCTCCAGCGGATCTTCCTTGCCAGCTGGAATGGCTATTTTCCGTGTTAGCCAGTGCGCCAAATCGTTCCTGAGCAGTACGAGATCCCTCTGTTCGTTTCTGCCGCTGGGAACCTCTCGTAGGATGCCCTCCCTGAGGTACAGCAGCAATCCCGACTGGGTATCTCTACCCTGGGCGGAGTGCATCAGTTGGTAGAGCAGCAGTTGCCCCTTGTGCTCCATGGAGAAGCTGGCTCGGCCAGTCTTGAGTTCCAGGGGGATAATCTCTTCCTTCCTTTGATTTCTCACCCTCACAGAGACATCCACCTTCCCCTTGAGTCCCAATTGGGGAACCCAGAGGTTCTCCTCTATGTCGCGTATCTCGTGGATGCGGCCACGATAGGTTTCTGGTTCCAAAACTGCCGGCGTTTCACCTTTTACATATTGGGCCACAAAGCTGACGATGGGATCGATGAAATTCTGCAGCTGTATTTCGATTTCCGGCTGACTGAGATTGCTGGCATAGAGCAACTGGGCCAAAGAAGAGCTGGTTAGCATCTCCTGGAGGGCAGATTGGATGTGTTGCTTGGCGGAAAGCTTCTGGCGAAGAACCTTCTGTAGTAACTCGTGCACCAGAGTGCCAATAAGCATCTGGAAAGGAGATAGGACAAGGAGTTATTTTAATTTTTGGGATCGGAAGAGGTACCTACCACAGAGTTCCCGGGATCCAGACCCCGGAAACGCTCCTGGAGCACCGATTTCCGGCGGCAGAAGAGTGAACCGGTGACTGTGGTGCCGGATATGAGGAAATCCGGATGGGAGACGCAGTAGCCCTGCTCCTTGTCGACCACATAGCAACCTGCAGACGGCTGCCATTTGCCCATCAAGGAGACAGTGTCACCCACCTCCAAACTCATGTGATTCCACGGTGGGTCCAGTCGGCAAACAGCCGTCTCCGGATCCCCGCCAGAAATCCTCTTCACTTGAACCTTGAGCTCCTGTTTCCTGGACACTGGCTCCACCTGCACCACCTCGCACCGCTGCCAGTGGGTGAGATCCAATCGGTGGTCACTAATGGACTCCACAGCAGCAGCCACCGCCAAATCGAAGTCGGCATCGTCGCCCCAATCGATGTTCTCCTGTTCATCCGTCGGGAAATCCAGCTGCTGCTTGAATTTCTTTAGACAATTGGAAACGATCATGTCGGCGGAAGCATTATCCGATTTAGTGGGCGTCAGGACACGTTTTGTGGCCATAGCAGGGATATTTATTTGCACAAATTGCACTATTTACATTTAACAGTTAAGCGTGTTTACTCTTGGCGCAATTAGTGTGCCCGTTGTTGCGTAGTTAAAAATACTTTGGCACTTTTGTGAACAGTTGAGCTATTTTATTAACATATGAGCGGGTTATTTCGACTAATAAGGTTGCCTAGTTTAATATTAAAATGTTAAAACGCTCGTATTGTAACTTTTATGCGTATCCAAATGTCAGGCTCAAAATTAGGTGAGCAAAATTGTCATTAGTTTTTCAGTGGACTTAGCTATTAGAAGAGTTGGCAGCGCTGTTATTGAGTTGTTAAAAATTCCCGGGCAGAGGGCGACACTTTCGCGGAAACTTTGAAATGTTTTCCCCAATGTCTTAACAATAACAATGAAACAAAATAGTTACTATAACATATGTTAGTATTTGTTATATTTAAATGTATGTTTTATTTTCTTTAACTATTAAGAGATCGAAATAATATAAAAATCAATAAATTAAAAGAAAGCAGTTCGGTTTTGCAAGCAGTTACCATCTAGTTCCAGCAACTTTTGCATAGATGGCGCTATCATTGAACGCTCATTTTCAATGCGATTTAAAAAAATAATTAAAATGCAATAGATACGACCAGAGAAGCTTAAATGATTCGAAAATATCCAGTAAATCATTAATATCATTTGGTTTTCAGGCAGAAGGTGCATATGCTTATCCGCCTGACAAGGCCTTCGTTTTCGTATTTGTGCAGTAAACAAGGCTGACATTCAGTTCCTTTAATAAAATAATGTTAATAAATTTATTGATAATTTCTATGATTTTTTAAGCATACCTGTTTCTAGGGTGCTGCTGAGGTGTGTTATATAGCTGCTTGCCAGGCGGATAATCTCGATCTTGGACAGCTTTCGATTAATGGGCTCCGTGGGTATTAAATTCCTTAATGCTTCATAGGCGGAATTTACACTGTTTTGTAGAGAATTTTTTAAGGGAAATTAATAATCATAAATTTGTGTTACTTTTTTAAATACATGCGCATAAATTTTACTAGCATTTACATTCAGAATTTTCTAATTAAACATTTTTTTATTTGTATTCTGTATAAAATGTTCTTTAATGTCTATATTTTGATGTAATTGTTTTTTTAAAACTTCACTGTCTAAAAATCTTTATACATTTTTTTTATAATAGAACTATAAATATTTTTTCATTATAAAAATTATATAGCTCAATTTTCCTTTGCCTGCTCTAAATATTAATAAATATTAATTATCTCCGCAAAATAAGTATTTATTTTGAGGGTCTATCCTTTGCATTGATTAATACTCACTTGAAGGTCCTATAGCGCTCCCTTGCGTTGATCTTCTGGCGCGGCGGTCGCCTCCGGCTGCCCACCTGATTCACCCGTAGCTCCTGGCCAATCTGGGAATCCTCGGAGTCGGCGGCCGCTCCACTGCATCCACTTGCACTGCCGCTGGCACTGCCACTGCTGTTGCTATCCTGCGCCAGGACTGCCATCAAATAGTTGGCCGCCGAGGATGATGAGACCGCCATCGGCATCCGTTTTGTGCGGCGATTGGCGAAGAACTGAGCGGACTCTCCGGCAAATCGCCCGACTATATCCACTCCTATATAGAAGTGACCCGCCTGCAATGCACTCCCTGGTCCAATTTCTGTTCTGCTAAACGAATTAAGTCATCGGCTAGTGACGACAAATTGTGCGTGAAGATGGGAAACAATAACGAGAACGTTTCCTCCGCTAAATGTGTGCACTTGTCAAAACAAGCGAAGAATGCCGGGCACTTGTGCGCTGCTAATTGTGCATCAAGTGAACGGCGATCCAAGGATAAGTAGCATATCCATCTCCATCTCCATTTGTCCATCGGCGATTTGTTGGGCCAATTTGTTTGTTTTTGTGGCAAACGGAAGTGGCACTTAGTCCTCCTTACCCTCACACTCGTCCCTGACCTTCCCCTCCTACCACTTATTTTCATTGTATTTTTCTAGACCGCACACATGCCACGCATGCGTTCCAGTCAGTCATTCAGTCATTGAGTCATTCAGTCAGTCAGTCATTCGCTCACTCTCTCAGTTGCTCACTCAAGCAACGCAGTTTGGTGCGGAATGTGCGCCGAGATGGATAATCCAGATATATTTATAAACGAGCATCGAGCAGCGAGAGAGGGTGAGCAGCCAACCAATTCACTACTGCTAAATTGTACAAATATTTGCAAACGCTTTTTAATTACCCAAAAAGATTTCTCACACTGCGTATTAATTTTGGAATATTTCGCAATCACTTCCAGCAGTTAAATGGCTCGATCATAAAATTTATATGGCTGGCTTGCTAATGAGTAATTTCCGATATTAAGCTATTATGAAGCGCATTAAACGCATTTTATTTATACTCCGAAATATTAGTTTTTATACCCTTGCAGAGGGTATTATAATTTCAGTCAAAAGTTTGCAACGCAGTGAAGGAGACATTTCCGACCCTATAAAGTATATATATTCTTGATCAGCATCACCAGGAGAGTCGATCTAGCCATGTCCGTCTGTCCGTCCGTCTGTCCGTCTGTCCGTCCGTTTCTACGCAAACTAGTCCCTCAGTTTTAAAGCTATCTGCTTGAAACTTTCCCAAAAGTTGTCTTTCTATTGCAGGTAGTATATAAGTCGGAACGAGCCGGATCGGGGGACTATATCATATAGCTGCTATATAACTGAACGATCGGAAAAGCCATAACTTTGGTGTTTTTAAAGTTAGGAAGTTGGGATTTTCTATGGGTTTTATTTTTGGCCAATCAATCCGACCTACCAAATTTCAAAAGGATCGGCCGACTATATCTTATAGCTGCTATATAACTGATTGATCGGAAATGCCATAACTCTGCTGTTTGTTAAGTTAGGAAGTTGGGACTTTTTATGAGTATTAAGAATGCATCATATGAATAATTTTGGAGAATATAATTTATAGAATATTCTGCAAGGGTATATCAACTTCGGCTCCGCCCGAAGTTAGCTTTCCTTTCTTGTTTTTTTATTAATTTCAGAAATGTATAAATATTGAAAGACTATTTCATAGCTGCCATAGCAACGATCGAAAAATTACTTTACCAAGTTGAAGCAAATTTCAACGTGGCCAACCTTTTAAGAATTGTATATTGATCCTCTATAAATCTGTATCCAATTTTATAATTTTAACATTGATCAATTTTTTGACACATTTTCATGTCATTTTTTCCAAGTTTCCGATGACGTATTAAAAGGTGACCAACAATTGGACTTCTAGAGTCCATAACTTTATCAAATTTCATCCGATTTCAAAGTGGCATACCTCTAAAGACTTGTGATTTGATTCTCTAAAAATCTGCATTCAAAATTTTCATTTTCCCGTTGATCAAAATTTTGACCCATTTTCATGTCATTTTTTTCCAAGTTTCTGGTGACTTGTAAAAATGTTAACCCACAATCGGACTTCTAGAGTCCATAACTTTACCAAATTTCATCCGATTTCAAAGTGGCATACCTCTAAAGACTTGTGATTTGATTCTCTAAAAATCTGCATTCAAAATTTTCATTTTAACGTTGATCAAATTTTTGACCCATTTTCATGTCATTTTTTTCCAAGTTTCTGGTGACTTGTAAAAATGTTAACCCACAATCGGACTTCTAGAGTCCATAACTTTATCAAATTTCATCCGATTTCAAAGTGGCATACCTCTAAAGACTTGTGATTTGATTCTCTAAGAATCTGCATTCATAATTTTCATTTTCCCGTTGATCAAATTTTTGACCCATTTTCATGTCATTTTTTTCCAAGTTTCTGGTGACTTGTAAAAATGTTAACCCACAATCGGACTTCTAGAGTCCATAACTTTATCAAATTTCATCCGATTTCAAAGTGACATACCTCTAAAGACTTGTGATTTGATTCTCTAAAAATCTGCATTCAAAATTTTCATTTTCCCGTTGATCAAAATTTTGACCCATTTTCATGTCATTTTTTTCCAAGTTTCTAGTGACTTGTAAAAATGTTAACCCACAATCGGACTTCTAGAGTTCATAACTTTATCAAATTTCATCCGATTTCAAAGTGACATACCTCTAAAGACTTGTGATTTGATTCTCTAAAAATCTGCATTCAAAATTTTCATTTTCCCGTTGATCAAAATTTTGACCCATTTTCATGTCATTTTTTTCCAAGTTTCTGGTGACTTGTAAAAATGTTAACCCACAATCGGACTTCTAGAGTCCATAACTTTATCAAATTTCATCCGATTTCAAAGTGACATACCTCTAAAGACTTGTGATTTGATTCTCTAAAAATCTGCATTCAAAATTTTCATTTTCCCGTTGATCAAAATTTTGACCCATTTTCATGTCATTTTTTTCCAAGTTTCTGGTGACTTGTAAAAATGTTAACCCACAATCGGACTTCTAGAGTCCATAACTTTATCAAATTTCATCCGATTTCAAAGTGGCATACTTCTAAAAACTTGTGATTTGATTCTCTAAAAATCTGCATTTAAAATTTTCATTTTCCCGTTGATCAAAATTTTGACCCACTTTCATGTAATTTTTTTCCAAGTTTCCGGTGACTTGTAAAAATGTTAACCCACAATTTGACTTCTAGAGTCCATAACATAACCAAATTTAATCCGATTTTAAAGTGGCATACCTTTTAAGACTTGGGGCTTGATTCTCTAAAAGTCTGTATCCAAAAATATTATTTGATCGGTGATCCATTTTATGACCCATTTTCGGGTTAGTTATTTCTAAACCATGTGTGATGAATGAAAACTCTGTACACAACAAATTAAAAATCTTTTTACTTTTATTTTATACACATTTTCGAAAGTTTCACTTAGCTAGGCTAGAAAAAAATCATAGTGAGAAAAAACACAATTCGCTTAGGATTAGGGGGAGTTACAAACAAATCCAGGGGGACACAGGGAAGTCGAACAAGAACGGATCTAAATATATATAATGGGCATATCGAATCGGTTTATATATTGAGTATGCTTCAGTGAATGTGCGTGTTTGTGTGTGAGTGTGTGTGTGGTTATTTCAAGGGCTCTTTGACCAACAACAGCAAATAAAAAAACATTAAGCTCGGCTACATTTCTTCTAATAGAAACTTGACGTGTTTTCTGCGTCCACTCCGCATTCTTCTTCTTCATCTTCATCTTCTTCGTTTCGTTTTCGTTTAAAATAATTAAAAATAATAGTAAATAAAACACCACAGTCATGATTTTTTTAATAGAACACAAAATATACACAAACGAGGGGGACGAAAAGGGCAATACAAATTAAGGAAAAGATCAGGAAAAGTGGTGAGGAAAATTCGCAAATAGCAAAATATTTACAAAAGCCGTTCGAAAATGGAAAGAGATGGATAGTTGGGTAGGGGAAAGAGATAGCACTAGGCTAGGAATAATTGTATCAGGCGTTTCTTCTTCTATACATACGCATATTAATGTTGTTTTCATAGTTTCGAGTAAATTTTTTGTTTTATTGATATATAAATAAAATTCTTTGATTTTTGTGTTTTTTTTTTAATTTTGGGTATCATTTTATGATTTTTTTGTTTAGTTACTTGAACTAATTCCTTTTTTGTTATAAAAAAATTGGCTAAAAATTTAAAAAAAATGTTGACATTGCCGGAAAATTTCTTTGATCGAATGATGCACAACAAAATTGTCTCCGTGTGAGTGAGTGGGCGTGTGTGTGTGGGTGGGTGCGGGTGTGTTTGGGGCGGGACGGGGTTGGGTTCTTGGGGGAGACAGAGAGAGATAGAGACAGACGGGGGGAGCGAGATAGAGAGGGTGATCTGCTGCATTTGACTCTGTACAGGTTGGTGACTTGACTAATTCGGACGAGGGCGTGGCCGATCGGTGCTGACCCTTGACCTTAGATCAGCGCCGTTATCAGCTTGGCCTTGAAGTTCACGAACTTCTCGCTGGTGGCCGCAACGCGCTGGAAAGAAAAAGGGAGAGGGTATTATATTAGTGTTCAGGTGGTATAAAGGTCATAGGAACTATAAGATGACTTTAAAGGGACTTCTTAATTGTTATTCTCTCTGTACTTGTAGCTATACTCTTGATAAAAAGTTATCTGAATCCCTATACATTTTTACAGTTTTGGCTTAAATTAGTTTTGACAAACTCAGATTATAAACATATATTTTAATGATCTAATTTTGAAATATTAAAATAAATATTCTCTTCTTTTGACATTTATAACAGATCAAATAAATATGCTGGACTGTTTGGAAAAATCATCAGGTTGTTGGAGTTTTTAGATGGTCCCTCTTAAAACTCGAAGAGTTTTAAAAATCTCTCTTTACAATTTATTAAATTAAGCAAACTTAAACACTTACCAGTATCAAGTCCTGGACCAGGTTGGCCAGACCGCGGTTGGCCAGCACGACGAGGCGCGTGACTGGGCCGGGAATGCCCTCGGTGTAGCCGTCGGCGGTGCGAGTGCTCTCGCCATCCGCATCCCCGTCACCGCCCAAGCTTCCCCCGCTGCTGCTGCTGCTGGCACCACCGCCCACCGAGTTGGCCGCCTCATCGCCCTGCTGGGTCTGAACGCTGCCCGAGAAGAGCTGTGGGGCGAAATGTTGCCAATTATGTAACCAGTAAGGGGGCGAAACCAAGTGGTCAGTACTCACCCGCACCACATCCAGCAGGAAGTTGCCAGAGCCTCCGGCTCCCAGGGCATTGCCACTGGGCGAGCCTCCTGCACCACCGCCGCTTGAGCCACCGGCCAGACCCGCACCGCCGAAGCTGAGGAACCTTTTGAACAGATTACTATTGGTGAGGCCATTCCATTCGAATTGGTTGGTTGTCGAGTGCATTTTAAGTGTTGTTGATTCGTTGTTGAATTTTGATTTGTGTGTTTTTATTTATATTTGTGGGTAGCCGATTTGTTTCCATTCAAATTGAGTGGTTATTAGTGTTGTTCAATTTTGATATAAAGTTTAAATTTTATTTATTTTAGTTATTGTTGAATTTAGTGATTGATTTGTCCATTTGTTTCGTATTCATGGGTATTTGTTTATATTTGTTGTTGAACAGTTGTTGATTTGTTTTCATTCGAATAGTGTGGTTATTGAGTGTATTCCAAATATGTTTGGTTTGTTGTTGAATTTTTATTTATTTTTTAAATTTATTTGAAGGAAAAGTTGTTGATTTGTTGTTGAATTTTGGTTTATTATTTGTTTGTTTTGTATTCATTGATGTTAGTTTGATTTTTATATTGGTAGAGTATTCCATTTTGTGGTTGAGTTGTTGTAGATTTGTTGTAGGGGTGAAATGGGAAGGAAAGTGTACTATTAGTAAAGTGTTGGGGTTTGGTTTTTGCCTATTAAAGTTGGATATTTTGTGTTGATTATAATAAAGCCATGCAGTTAGGCATTGCAAAGAGGGTGTCGGTGACTTGAATAATCTCTGGTACTTGATATGAGAGAAGGAGAAATCCTTCACTTACCTCTTGTTGCGATCATCCAGATCGGCGGTCTCCTCCGCGGAGTCCAGGGTCAGTTCATCGATCGCCGGCGACTTGGACTCGGACAGCTGTAAATCGTTGGAGCTCAGGGGCTTGTTATCCAATCCGGCGGAGGGCGAAACACTGGGCAGTTCGTTGTTGAAGCTCAGCTGGATGGGTTCGTTGGATTTCAGGGGAATGGGCGCCTGGGCAATTGGGGAGGAGGCGGAGGACGAGGATGGGGTCAGGGATTGGGCGGCGGCGGCGGCTGCTTCCGCCTCCTTCACCTGGCGGGCCACTCGGATCGTCTCCTCCAATTGCTTGTTGATGGCCGACAAGTCGATCTGGGTATCGGTGGCTCCATTCTTTTCGGTTTTTTTTCAGGTTTTTGTCATAGGTTTTTTAATATTTTTGGTAGGGCATTTGTTGCATTGTTTTTTTATGGTGGGTGTTGGTTTACAAATTTGGAATTTAGACATTTATTATGTGCGTGTCAGGGGAGGGAGGGAGGGGGGAGAGAGGATAGTGGGTGGTTCAAGGAGTGGCGGGTGAAAAGCCCAAGGTCGAGGGGTTGAGGAAAAGGCAAAGCGTAGGATTCGGCGACGAGTAATGTGTGTGGGTTTTGTGTATGTTTCGTTTTGTTTGGTTTTGTTTTTTTTCCAGTGTGTTCGGGTGTGGTGAGTTCAACACAAGTGAGGTTATGTCATCGTTTGCGAGTTTGGGGTGAATGTGAGGTTAGGTGGAGACAGAGTGGTTAGGTGGTTTGGTTGATATATTGCACATGTCGATTGTGGTGTCGAAATCGATCGATTTGTTGATGGGCAGTTATCAAATACGTGCATAAATGCGTTCGATGTATTTGTGTATACATTTTCGGTTGTCAGTTAACGTTATCAGTTATCGGTTATCGGTTATCAGTTATCAGTTTTCGGTGGAGCGTTGTTCGTATTTTTTGATTGATTTGATTTGATTGTTTTGGTGGTGAGTTATTTGCATTGCACAAATCGAATCGGGTTTTAATGGAACATGAAAATAAAGAGAAAAAGATACAAAAATAAGCAAAAGAGAAAAACAAAAGGAGCGAGACAGCACAGATAGAAAGAGATAGAGAGAGAAAGAGAGAGGAGCGCTTAGTCTAGAAATCCACTTTTTCAGACATCGGTTATCGACTATCAATTACGCTCCTTGGGTAACTTTTCAAGCATTAAGTTCTTTTTTTAATCTAAATGGGTGGTAAATTAATCTCTTTCTCGGCCAACAAAAAATGAATGAAAATCCTTGTCAACTCTTTTGTTTTTGCTTCTTTATTCTGCGGCGGGCGGAAAAACGAAGTCGGCGAAAATGAGTGCGGAAATGGGTACACTGAGTATCGAATTTTTCTGGGGATGAGAGCAGAGATAATTGGAGATGTAAATGCACTCTTGAGTGTGGTGAGTGTTCAGACGAGTGCTGTGGTTGAAAAAAAACACCCAGTCCAACCTACAGTTCACCTTTGTTTCAGGAGCGACAAATGAAATTAATGGGGTTTTTACACGCTTTTTTCGAGTCTGTCTGGGCACCAAAAGTGTGTATGAATTTGTGAGAATTTTCGAATATCTCAAGGTATATGAAATTTTACCTTGAAAAGTGTCTTAAAGCAGGCAAGATAGTATTTGATGTGGTATATACAGAAATGGAATTATATCGCCTACTTCTTGCTACCAAGCGTAGAGTATTGCGATCTTTAAAAATATAATGTTTAGGCAAAAAGTCACGAGGGTATACAAATTATTTCGGTATATTTGGGAATGTATTAAAAATGTCTTATACAACTAATACAATATAAATGTAAAATATATAAATTTATTTTGTAAAAAACACCTACTAACCTAAGTCGAATGGTGGTGCGCATGAGGGAGAAGGAAATATTTGAACAGAAAAAGGTATATGAAGTTGAAAAGAGGCAGCTCTAGGAAAAGATGACTGAGAGAGAAAGGGACAGATATAGGGAGACAGAGACAATAGGAGTGGAAAACAAGAGACAGAGAGAGAAGGCTGGTGAGTGTGTATGTGTGCTGAAAACCAGTGTGCTAAAGGTAATTTCAAAACAATCAAGTGTTGGTTAACAATGCCAATTCAATGAGAACTTCACTTTCATTTCATCATACACCTTTAATTTTATTTCAATTTGCTGTAGAGGGTGTTTTGGTTGCGTTGTTGTTGTGCTGCGCGGAGAAATTTGAAGGGAAGAGAAACCAATTTTAAAAGCCAATTCAACAGTGCTTCTGTACAGAGAAAAAAAGCTTAGCAATATCAAATCCAAATTGGCATCTTGACTTTTTCATACTAAATTATATTTAATTTTGGGAGGTGCCACAGATATAACTTGAGTTTTGAAATCATTTATAAAGGAGACTGAAAGTTTGCAGTGAAGAAAAGAAACATTGTCTTTCGCACTTTCGTATTCAAAATATATTGTTGCATACTTTTAAACACCTTTACAGGAGATTTTAAGACCCTTGTGATTTCTTTTGTACCCCCCAGTATTAAATAATAATATTCTATTTGAATATGAAAAAATCCCCAATCGATGATCCATTTTGGTGATACTGCCTTTTCTCTGTGTCGTTTTCGTGAGTATCTCACAGTTGTTGTAGCAAATGAAACGCACTTTAGGTGGACTCGGTGGTTGAGGTGCTGGTGGTGGAGGTGCTGCTGCTGCTGCTGCTCTTCTCCGCATCGATCTCGTTCTCATCATCGGGCTCGAAGGTGGGCAGTTCGATGGTCACACGGGTGCCACTGTCACTATCGGAAGTGGTGCTGCTGCTGCTGCCGCTGCTGCTCTTGGAGCTTTCATCGTCGTCATCATCGAAGTCTGCATCGAAAGTGGTCCTGGCCGCATTCGCAGAGTTTCCCTGAATGGCGGTACGCAGAACCGTGGGTCCCAAAGTTCTCAATAACTTTGAGATAATGCGGTTCGCTTGATCGTCGATTTGCTACAACAACCACGAATCGAAGTGTGGTGCGTATGCGAATTTTGGATTCGGTGGTGCAGGTGCATAGAGTTTTGACGGGGAGTATTTTTGTTTTTTTTTTGGGGGGAGGGTAGGTAGATTAGTTTACTTCAGTGGTTCAGTTTTGGGTTACATATAATGCGGGTGGTGCTTTTTGGGGTTTGGTCAAGGGGAGTGGAGGAACTTTGGGGCCTAAGGGTCGTGTAAATCAACAATGGGGTTCAGTGGATGAATTCTACGGCTTATACAACGGTGGAGTGAGGCGGTTTAGTGGTGCTTCAAAGTGCTTCGAAAGAGGTTCTATTAAAAATTATCCTTTTTTGTACAAATAGTAGACCAGTTTTATCTAAAGTTTATGGTTCAAACTAGCAAGTTTGAATCCAAATTTCTTTTTGGATTATTTTCAAGAACCACTTTGCGAATTACTTTTCGATTTTGGTAAACGATGAGCAAAAGTCTCTAAATGATGTTGCTGATGCTCTCTTGTTCTTCATCTTCATCCTTATGTGGTTGTTGTTGTGGTTTTGATGGTCGTTGTTGTTGTTGTTGTGTTGGTTGTTGTTGCTTTCAAATCCTTATTTGCCTTTTTATATATATGGTTTTGTTCTACATTTTCGGTGCTCAATCAAAGACGGGCAATAATTTCGTAATGTTGTTGTTGTCAATTGGGGTGGCCTTTGTTGTTGATGTTGTTGTGGTTGTTGTTGTTAGATTATCTCTGGTTGTAATAAAATAATTGGTAGAATTTAATAAACGATTTATATCGGCTATTATGGTTAGCAATTGTGGTTCATCGATGCTGTTGTTGGTGGGAAACAGGATATTGATGGTGGTGGGTGGTTCAATTGGTGGGGGTAAATCAGTGGTGCTAGAAGTGGTGCTAGTAGTGGTTGTTGCAGGCAAAGTTGTTGTCGTTGTTGTTGGTTTTGTTGTTGTTGCTGGAGATGGAGTTGGACTTGGAGTTGGAGATGGAGATGGATCATCGGTTGTTGCCGGCTCCAAAGAGCGCGGCAATAACTGGACCAAATCCTCCACTGGCGTGCTAGTGGTACTAGTAGTACTCGTGGTACTAGTGGTGGTGGTTGTTGGATTACTGAGACTGTTGGTGCTAGTGGTGGCTTTTTTTGGGAATGATGATGGTTGATTGGTTGAACTTTCATCACCTTTCGATTCGGGCGATGCTGCTCCTCCTCCAGTTTGTGGCGCAAAAGTTGGCAGATCGATCTTCACCCGCCGACTTTCCTCCACCTCGTTGGTACTACTCGGTGGTGCTGGTGGTGCACCACTGTCTGCATTCCTCGTTGCCGGGCTGCTCGACGGCGCCACATCATCGTCATCGTCATCAAAGTCCGCATCGAAATCGGCATCGAAATCAGAGGCCGGCGTTGAACTTCCGCCGGCAGCACCACCCGCACCACCGCGATTTCCGGCCAATATGCTATTCAGAAGACCTGGACCGGCCACCCGAATCACCTGGGCTATAATTCGATTGACTATCGAGTCGATTTCCTAGCGAGAGATCAGCGAAAGATCAACAGAAAATATGTGGTTTGTTTTTTTTTTTTGGTTTTTTGGTCAATTGGTAAATGAGATTCTTTGGTGGTTCTGCGTTTTTGGTGGTGGTGCTTTTGTCCACATGAGATGCTGATGCAGTAGCTGATTTTATGTTGATTCGGTCAATTATTGACTTTTCTTGATGATCTTGGCCAATTGTTGGGATGATAATATCTGTTTTTTTTTTCAGGCTGAAAACTCAATGTCTATTCTTTTTGGTTTTAGTCTATTATGTTCGTGTCTGAATGTCTGTGCGGGTTTTGAGTGGGTGGTGGTTGTGTTGGTGGTAGTTCAACCTCTGCTACTGGGTGGTGGTGCTGGCATGCTGAGTTCAGGAGGTGGTTGGTTGGGTGGTTGAGTGCTCTTTTGCTAAGGCTAAAGAAATAAGAAGCAACATTTGGAGGTACACAATTACAGGAGAGGAGGGGACCAAGCCAATAATAATTATTTTCTGAATAAGTTTTTGTTTTTGTTCATTTTCAGCCCTCCATTGCGAACTGGCTATCGGGCTGGAATTGGGTAAGGTCCTCGGGCAGTTGATCGTAGTCCTTGGACCCCTCATCCTTATCAACACTCCCATCAGCATCATTTTTATCATCATCATCATCATCGTCCTCTTTGGCTGGCTGTCGGGGATGGAGACCCGTATCGAAGGCCGGATTCAGGATCGTGCCCAGAACCACGGGCCCAACGCGTTGCAACACATTATTCACTAGACGATTGATCTGCACATTGATCTCCTATGTGAGGAAAACATTTCGCGTGGCGCCAAATTCAATACACTTTCATATAGACAAATGGGTATATGGTTTTTTTTTTTTTTGATTTTCTAGGGGCCTACAACCCTGGGCTAAAAGTGTCTGAGTGGATTGTTATAAGTATAGCATTATATATGGGTTGGCTGACATTTTTCGGAGACAGGGGGGCTTCGGGGGAGGGGGTCGGCTAATGGTTCATGTATATATATCTATATCTCCAATCGGGTTCTTACCTTGGTGATATCGGGGAACAGCTCTCGCAGCAGTCCAATCGTTCGCTTATTGCGATCGGCTATCAATGTTTCTTGGTCTTTGGCGCCCAATGTCAAGACATCGATTTCCTGCAAAGAAAAATGTAAAAAATATATATTTTATTTTAAGTAACAAACTGTGGTTTTAGTCCCCAAATAAATATTTATTGTTTTTGTATCTTTTACCTAGATCTATGAATATTAATTTATTTTTAGCCATTAAAACAATTAAATTTTTTTATGGCTAATACCAAGAATATGTCGACAATGAAAGCGCATTTAAAACAAAGACTCTCTTCGTGACCTTAGCCATTTGAAGCCCAGTTGACTTTCAGGTTGGGAATGACTGGTTTTAAGTGTGAATTACTTTTTCTGCGGTCGAGGTAAACAATAATACCTATATAATTTCGTACATCTGTTGCATAATCTGGCAGTGAAACACCGGAGAAGATGATGCAGATGCCGAGCGAAAGAAAACAAAAGACCCCAAAGTGCCCGCAAATTGACAAAACTTTCACTTTAGACAATGAGTTGCCAGTGGCACCCCTTGAACCCCCACAAAACCCCTCTCCATCCCCCTCACCCCCTTTGGGGGCGCCCCTGTCATTTGTGTAATCAAGTTTCAAGTGTAAATTGTAATTTGCTGGGTATTTCTCAGTGGTTTACAAGAGGCGGTTAAAAAAGAGATCTTCCATGGCTATTTTGGTCTATTTAAGTTTAGTTCAGTGGGTGGTGGTTGCTTGTTGGTGGTGCACCCAAAAGTCAAAAGTCAGCAGGCCCAGAAAGCGAAATGACTTGGCAAAAAGTTGTTAACGTTAATGGGCAATTGCCAACTGCACAGCAGCAGCTACAACAAGTACAACAAGTACAACAACAGCAATAAGCTGTCTAAGCTAAGAAAATATTGCACAATAAATTTTCAAATTGCATTAAAATTGCATTTTGTGGGCGGTGGATGAATGGCTAAATGAGTGGCGTAGGCAGCCAACTTTTGGACAATCAACAGCACGAGTCACTAAGCAGCAAAAGCAACAGCAAAAGCAATAGCAACTTCTTAGTTGCAACAATTGTCAAGGTGCCACCAGGTGCAAGGGATTCCAAGCAGCTCAAAAGCAGCACAATCTAATAATATAGCATCAACACTTTAACAATTGGAAAAGTTTCTTCCGCTGCCTCGACAGCAAAACAAAAAAAAAAAGAAAAAGGTTGTGCTGGGCAACCATTTCAATATCGGACCATTTCAGCAAGCCAGTCAAAGTTTTAATACTCTTAACGAACAAGAAGGTCTAGTCATCGAGGAAATAAATTATTGGAAATAAGAACATGAATTTATAGAGCATAATTTGTACATTTAGTAACAGATATATATATATTATATATTTTAAAAATATATATTAATATTGAAAAAAGTAAAAGCTGTTTAAGTTTTTTTCCTGTTGACTCAAACAATTGAAATCATTTGTTAAAAATATTATTTATTTATCCATTGTAGCCGATCCACCTTGTCATCTTTATACCACATCCCCCCATTTATAATCTCGGACAATACCATAAGTTAATGAGGCAATTGTCTATATTCTACTATTTTTTTTACTTTGCCAATTGTTAATGGCTTTTGTATGTGCTCACCTTTGTCGGCCTTTCGGTGGAGCCACATCTTAGCCACTTAATCTTATTATCAACGACCAAAGGTATTTCGAATTTGGCAGGGTATTCCCATAAAATTGTCACCTTTATCAGGCATCTACTTAAAGGCAAATGAGATTTGAAACTCGAAATGGCATGGGGATCCCCAGATGGTATATATATATATATATATAGATATATATATTTTTATTCCTCTGGAAATGCTGCTGCTGTTGCAGTGTTTAATTGACTCAAAAGTCAGTGCGGAAGTTGACTTTTACACGCGGGCGGAAGTCAGCAGCAGCAGCGACGATGATTATGACGGCCATGATTATGATGATGAGGAGCATAAAATAAACTTTTGCTAGTTTGGCCAACAAACTGTTGCCAACTCTCTATCTCCCTCTTGTCTTCCCCCTCTCTTCCCTCTCTCCCCTCCCATCACACACACACTCTGAAGTATTCATCATATTTTAAGCTGTCTGTCAGTGTCAGTTTAGTGCGACAATTGTTTGGATATTGCCCAGGGAGGCGGAGTCAACAGAAACTACTTAAGGCAAAAGTTACGTTTTTATGGGACATCTTAATGAATTTCAAATGAGTTCAAGCCCAGAAGCTGCCTCGTGGCAAACGTCATTAAAGCGAATGCTGTGAATTTTAAGCAGTCTGCACAGCATGTTGGCCATTTCGTTTTCATTTTCAGTTTATGCCAAGGCGGAAGACACCGCTTATATAGAATCGAATCGAAACGCTAATCGATTGACAAGCTCGCCCAAAAAAAATCGTTTAAAAAAAACCAACAAAAAGAATCAGAAAGAAAACACTTTTAAAATGCTTGGGCATTTCAATTGCCTTGACCTTAACCAACTTAAGGCGACTCTCGACTCAATAAAAATGCCACAAATTACTGTCATAGTCAAGCTCTCACACAGGGAGATTTATACGAATTTAAAACCTCCGAGTAAAAAAACTAGATTCGATAAGTAACAGATTGCGCATAAATTAACAATGCAAACTGGTATATTTTATTTTATAATTTTGGATATTTTATTCAGTGGTTAATACAGAATCTGCATTTCAATTTTCGTGTCACTTTTTAAACTGGGTAAAAATGTAAATCTGTGTTTGTTTTTATTAACAAATTTTATTACTTTTAATTTGATTATTTTACTAAGAAAAAAAGATGAACCACATGGTATTAATAGAGAAAGTGTTTTACCAGGACTTTAAAAAGTGCTGAAAAGTCAGTATTTAAAGAAGAAAGGAACAACTTGTACAAAATAACGAATAAAGAAGAATAATAATAACACAAAAAGAAGGACACAAATTTAACGAAAAATACATTCAATTGATGGATTTTATTCATTGTAAAATGTATTTCAATAGAGCATAAAAACTGAGCTATGGCCCCAACATTCTATAAAAACAAATTGAAATTCCAATTTAATTGCAAATGCGACCTCAGCGACAGTGCGTGTCATGACCGCAGTGGATTTATTTCTATATCTAAGCCGATACATCGGACCACGCCCATTGCTAATCCGGTGGGGCAAAGCCTTTTAGCCACTTGTCAGACGGCCAATGAGGCCTTGTTCGGCGGCTAATAAAAATACGCGACACAATTAAATTAAATTGAAAAATGGGCGAAACTGGAATTCGAAAATGAATAAATCAAATTAACCACAAGACTATTGGATAATGGCCGGGCTTTAATTATTCTTAAGCACTGGCTAATCGCATAAGACAACATGCATATCTCTAGTGGCATTTTTTCAGTGCTTCGTTTCTTTTTTTTCAAAACAGATTGCAACTGGGACTCCCTGCTGTATAAATTGTCTTTGGTTTCCATCTGACTGACATGACAGACAAGGCAAGCGCGTCTCGTTTGCCACTTAACAAAAATGCAGCTACCAACAAATTGCCAGCAGCAACAACAGCGAATTGCGATTGACGTTTTACTTGTCGCACAATGCGGCGTATGCGTGATATGTGTACAAGAGCGCGAAGAGAGGAAGTCGGAGTGCAGTGGCGCAGAAGGGGGCGGTGGTGCGAAAGGGGGCGGTGGTGCGAAAGGGGGTGGTGCAGGAGCCACCGGTTACATAAGCGGAAAGTCTGTCACTAGGTAGTCGACTTGCACTTGGCAAGGAATCAAAAAATGTTTATTCGTTATGGGTGTAAACTAAAAATGGCAATAAAGCATGAAAGCCGGCGACTTTTAAAAGTCTATCTGTTAAAAATCTTTCAAAATACTACACCATTTTAGCAAAATCTCTTTCCTTAAATCGATTTTTTAAATAAAATAAATTCCTGACAAGCTAGAAACTCTTATCTGTATTTTAAATGTACTTTACGAAATGAAAAAACAAAAATAAAAATAAATGAAGTTAATACGAGGTTTAGAAACTGGCTGTGAAAAATAAATATATTATTATTTGTAAAAAGAAAAACCAATTCCTTAATCTCGTTTATTAAACTAAAACAAAAACGATAGCCTGTAATAAATACTCAGAAACGGCAATTTTCCCGTAATTGCAGTTCGATGGATCAGGGTGTAATAGACTTCACATGGAGTGGAGTTATTTCGCAGTCAACTCCGTGTTCCCCGATTGCTGTTATATCATTTTTGACACGTGCTGGGCTCCAAGGAAGTCGAAACGACAGAGAGAGGCAAGCAAATAGAAATACAAGTGAAGTGGCAACAATGGAGATATCATTGCAGTTGACGTTGCAAAGAAAATTGTCCACAGCTCTGCTTATTTATATTTTTCTCCGATTCTCCGATTTTCCCCCAGCTCTTTTTTTCGAGCTAGTTCAATCGCCATTGTCATCGTCTCGTTAAATGATTTATGGCGCAAGGCATGTCAACACGCCGAGATGAACATCGTTTCGGTTTGGGGAAACGCCGACTATGAGTGAACTATATATATACATATCGACTTCATTAACGTATCAGCGTTTTGTGGGCTAAATTTTGACCCAGTTTTCGGTCTCAACCACAGAGCCAAATTGGGCAACAACAAATGCTTACCGCTTTGTGTAACATTTGCTTTTGGGATGGAATTTTTTTTTCGGCCTTTTAGCAGATGTTCAAAGATGTTATTGCAACTGGCGTGGGTGCAGGCATTTAAAATATATATTATGTGTGCATGATATCACAGTTTAAAGTTGCCCAATACTCTGGGGTAAGTTGCAGTAACGATGGCTCTTAATTGAACAATTTCAAAATAATTTTTAGGGAGTCTCAGTCTCAGTAATATCATTAAAATATTATCTCTAGATAGATGGCTGCTTTTACAAACTCCAAAATAGATTGTTTTTAATATTTATCAGTTCCTCTTTAGTAACTTCTGGAGTTTTGCACATCTCTCAGCTTAATTTATGGTTAGAACACAAATATGAAATGCACGTAGATTATAATTAAAAGCTTTAAGTTATAAAAGCAAGTGCTAAAACGGTGAGGTTCATCAACGTCACACTTTTTGTATATCAGGAAACAGTTAAAAACGTACATAAGAACCACTTGCATTTATGGTATTTATCTTTTAACCGTTTTGTTCAATACTTTATTTGACAAACAACAAATTGACTTCTTACCAGGAAAATACTTGTGTGCGTTATTTATGGTTTTCACACGAAAATGAAATTATAATGGCATGCCAGCAGATTTTGATTGACAAATATTGCGCCGTTGATTTTTTGTTGTTGTTGTTGAAAAGCCTTCAGGCTGTCTGGAGATTTCGGAGATTTGTGCAAATTTGTTGCACAAAGTGAAAGCCATAAAATGACATAAAACAATGCTAAAAAACCGGCCAGCTCTCTGGCCGAATAGTTTTGGCCAACAAATTAGCAGGGGGCTGGGTGTCCGGGGTGCTAATTGCCGGGGCACATTAATACAATGATACAATGATCTGCGACGATGATCGAATGGGAATGGGAATGGAAATGGGAATTGTGGGGAACTGTCTCGCTCGGCAATTAAGTAATAAAATAACAGAGCTGCAGGGGCTTGCTCAACTCGGGTAGTCCGGTTTTCTTGGCCGGGCCAACACCCAGCTGAGGCCAAATGAAACAAAAAAAATAAGTGAATAAGTGAATAAAAATATAAAAAAAAAAAACAGAAGGAAACAGGTACCAAGTGTGCCAACTTCCTTGGAACTGGTCCGCACTCTTCGAGTGTTTGCGGCTCTGATCCAGTCACGCAGGTTCGACGGGCCCAGAGACCCCGAGACCCGAATTGGCCAAAAACCGAAAACCAAAAAATGAAACTAAAACCAAAACCAAACCGAAGCCGAAACCGAAAAGTAAAAGGAAGTTTTTTTGCCGTCTGGCCAACATGTTTGGCCGCTTCCTCCGCCTTCCGTAAGCCAACCCAATCCAAGTGCAAATTTGTCAAGCAAATATGGTCGAAAGGGCAACTGAGGCGGCAGCACGCGCTACTTTGAGCCAACTGAATGTTAACGAGAGTCGCTCATAGAGTTCCAGCACTTGCCATTAACTTAGGCACTTAAACAAGCCAATTAAGCAGGAGTTTATGGGCCCAAATTGTTTTATTGCAGCATTCCCATGCTGCAAGTTACTCGCTTAATGTCACTCTGAACAAACATTTTCACGTCTTAAAAAATGTTAGTTGTAAAACAGCCTTTCAATTTGTTTTGGAACCACCCCTGCCTGGGAAAAGTCTATGAAAGCTTTAAATAATATTTGTTTTACGCACTCGCTTGTTTGACTTTTGGCTATTTTATTATTATCATGAAACAGTCATTTAGGTAAATATTTATTTTTAATCAAGCTTCTTAAAAACGACATTTTTCTGTACTTCAAAAGCCCTTTTAAGAATTTTAATAAATAATATATAAAAACTTGTGGTTTTGTCTCCTTTGTTTGTTTAAAGGTGTAATAAAAGTATAAAGAAGAACTTTACCTTAAAAACTTTCAAATTGTGTAATCAGTTTTTAATTAAAAACCATTTTTAAGTAATTTTGTTAGAAATATAAGCATTCAGCTAACAAGAGTTTAAAGATTTCTAACAAATTTGGCAGCTCTCAAAAGACTTGTCACCTCTATGCTAATTTGATGATTAAAGTTAAGTTATTTCAATTATATCACTTGAGTTTTGTGTAGTTAACAAAACAAATATAAGTTTCAATGCCTAGCAGATAACCGTATGACATTTGCTAGCAAAATCATTGTATTAAGGCCAATCTTATTAAATACAAACTTAACGATATTAATCGTTTCGACTTTGCAAAAATCATGGCCTTATCAAAGAATATACAAATTTCATTAGATTCTAACAGCTAATACTAACAGAAAATACTAAAATTGAACTTACAAAATTTTTGATCCCTCAAATAAATGTAGTTGTTTAACTAGTTATACTGGTACCGAAGCAAATACTTGTTTCTAGGCATATTTGCATATCATTCAAAGATCACGGCAAAATCTTTGATCCTTCGAAAAAAACCATGTTACCAACAAGGTTATCCAAAATGGTACCCCATTTTATAATACTTCAATATATGTTATAATATTGTTTCTATCTTTAAAAATCTCCCAACTAAAGCCAATATAAATTTAGTAATAAAACCCTGTTTTAGCCACCTAAAAAGTATTCCAAAGTGCCCCAACATTTTCGGACTCACCTTGCCATTGGCGAGCGGGATCTGCAGGACATCCAGCTCCTGGTTGCCGGCTGGCTGCGGGAGCGGGACGGCGCTAATCAGGCAGACGGCGCTGCAGAGGACGAGCGCCAGGAGTTGCTGTCTGCTCGGCTGCCTCATGCTGTCTCTGTCGCGTGTGTGTGTGTGAGCGGGACTGGGCGTAAGTGTGTGGGTGTGCGCTGGAACGAGAGGGCATGCTAATTAATGATAATGCAGAGACAAAGGCGTCGTCGGCCATCGATAAAGGTCACCAGGCGGTGACCTTCTCTTATCGCGCGCGCTTCTTACAAAAATGAAATCCAAATCAAACAAAAAAAAACGAACGGAATTAAAGCCAAAAAACAGCATGTTTGATTTCGAGTCTGTGGTTTTGTTCATTTTTTCCGACGGTTTGTTGGTTTGCTGGCTATTCTCTGGCCAAGGTCTCCCAAAACGATGCGGATGCTAACGATAACTGTCAATAGGCGATGGCCAATGGCCAATGGCCATTTACGGCGGCGGTTTGGTCAAGTTTAAATATTGGACATTTCTTGGGCAACTCGTCGTATGAGTAATGCCAGCTATATGCTGCAACGGTGAGCAATTTATAAATCACAACAAAAAATTATGTAATTTTTTCTTTTTTTTTCACTTTTTATATTTGGCCAGCAGCAACCTGTGTGTATTTGTGTGTGTGTGTGAGTGTGGTGTTGTGTGGCTGCCTTTTATTTTGTGCAATTTCTATGGCCAAAGCTTTTCAAAGCTGGGCTTTTGTTAAAAAGAAATTGAATAAGGCCCAGAGAAAGAGAGGCAGACAGGTGCGAAAAGCAAAGCATGATCCGTAATTACACACAAAAATGTGAGAAAATGCATTAAAAACAAAGTAAAGCCGTAGCTCTAATTGAAGAAAGGGAGAAAAAGAGAGGGAGAGAGGGAGAGGGATAATTTCTTTGGTCAACAACTATGCAAAAAATATTAGTCATCCCAAATTTAATGAGAGAAACTAAGTGCAAAGTAAGGGAAACCGCAAATCAGAATCGCTGATTGCCTTATTAGACTTTGACACGAATGTGAGATGGCATTGCGGGCTCAAAGGTTAAGGCTTTGGCAATTGAAGATCAGTTAGTGACAAGTTAAAAAGCTGACACACCTTAGATCGCGGAATTGGTAACTACTTTCGTTGTAAAAGCTATCTATATGTAAATATAGAGAACTATTTTTGGATTTTGGTAACAAGACCTTTTGGGATGGCTATTACTTCTTTAGACAACTTCTTTAGAAATTAATATTATTTTTGGAATATAATAAATTGTTGAAATATATATTCTCTAATATTCCAAACTTTAAAATTGTATTATTACAAGATATTACTCGAAATCCCAAATGAATCCTAAAATAAGTATTACCATTTAAATTTAATTGAACTGTTGGTACAAGACCTTTTACTATGATCTACTAGCTCGATATAAAAACTCTATTTTTAAAATCTCACTAAGGTTTTATTAACTATATAAGTAATTACTTTATAAATACATAAGTAGACTCATAAAATTTAAATCATTTTTAAATCTTTTGTTTCAGAAATAAAAGCAATGTTTCTTTAGCAATTACTTTAAATTCTCTACAACTTTGTAATGTACAAAATATCGTACAACAGCTTGAAAATGGTCGAAAACCAATTTGGTAACACAAATTAAGTGGGGGAAACTCCAAAAGCCAAGTCATCTTCAGCTGAGGCATGCAAGAAATGAACTTGAAAGTGTATTTTGGGCCGTTTTGTTTTGGCCGCATTTGCTGTTTTGTTTTGCTGTCAATCGAGCAATCAGTCAAACAGTTTGGCAATACTAAAAAAAAAGGGAGAGAAAGGGGGAATCGGAATCGGAATTGCCACCTCGAGGCAGACATGCAATGCTGATGGCTGATGGGTGATGGCTGATGGTCAGGTCTTAGTCTTAACTTGGCCCGAAGACTGTTAACTGTTTAAGTAGGGCGTAAGCGCCAAAATCCAACGAAGGCGAGCACAACAGAGAAGCGAAAGAGAAAGAGCGAGAAAACCGGCAACAATCGAGCTCCCAAGATGTTATGTCATCTTTTGGCTTTTGCTTTTACTTTCGAGCTCTCTCGCTTGTTGATCCATTTGCTTCTAACAATTGTCCGAAAAGTGATCAGTGATTAACAACGTGACTTGACATATCCCATTTGAGTTTATTATTTTTTTTTTTTTGCATACGGAACTTGTCGTTTTATGATTACGACTCGCTGGCAGTTGCACAAATATCATAAAACTCATAAAAAAAAACAAAAAAAAATCCGCATCTGGCATTGAGTGCATGTTCCGACATGGACATGTCGTAATTAAAAGGCAAAGCCCCAAAAAACAACGGCGATAATCAAGGCTTGATTGGAATTTCTGGGGGATTTCGAAATATAATTTAAGCCAAGTGACTGGGCGTATTAGAGGTTGAAGTAGTGCACTTCCTGTGGCAAAGATTGCAATTAAGGTTCGGCCTTGTTTTCTATATATTCAGCGAAACGGTGCGTATGAGTGATATTTTGAAGGTACTGTGTGGATTCTTACATTTGAAAGTTCTAAATAAATTATTGAAAATCTTTAGACTAATTTTTAACTCTTTTACCAAAATCATTGTTTATTTGGAAATTAACAATTTGGATTTTGGTCTTAGACAGTTCTATAGAAAATTAGTTATTTGACTTAAGGTATGGAGTTTGTTCTAAAAACGTTCTAAGCCATCTCTAGTCTTCATTTTACTGACATTTTGATTAGCTTTATAACCAAAAACATACAATTTTTGGAAATAGAAATAGTTATTTCGGTTCCCACATAAATTTGTAAGATATTTATCCGGCTTGGCAAGATTATCCCTTAAGATATAGCTCCAATTTGGCACCCCCCTCGCCAAATCCCCCCTCAAATCGATTTCAGCACTGCACACGAAACCTCTCGAAACGCAACTTGAAAATTGGCAATCAAAAACGTTTTTGTGTTAACCAACTCGCATTAATTGGGCAATCGAAACAAGGTAAATGAATGCAGCAAATGAGAAATGAGACAAAACCGAAAATAGTTCAGCACACGCGTCAGGTTTTTTTTTTGTTATTTTTGTTGGCTCTCGAAATTTCTTTCGGTGTTTTTATGCGATTTTTTTATAATTTCGTTCACAAACCATAATTCTTCAAAATTGTTAAGCACACCAAAAAAAATATAGAAAAAAATATGAGGTAAGTGTTTAGGTTTGTTTTTTTTTAGCTTTTCATTCCGTTTTTTTTGATGATTTGTATTGTTTGTTTTTTAAAATTTTTAGGTTTTTGTTTGATATCCTCGCGATAACGATAACAGTTTATGAGTTTTATTTTGTTAGCACACCACGTTGTTTTGAAAATACATACGCGTTTTGGCCTTTTTCGTACGGCTGCCAAAAAAGTAAACAGCCCAAAAAAAAGTATCTCTCGATGGCTACAAGAAACAGCAACAATTGCGTGGATCGGTGGATCAGTGGATCGTGGATCGGTGGTGCGACTGCTCTGTGCTCTGTGGTCTGGGCTGTTGGGCCTGCAATTGATTACTAACGTGATTTTATCACACACAAGCGACTAAAGCTCGAGACAAAGCGCGCCGCGAACGTCGGCAGCGCGCTCAGCGTCGGCAGCGGCGCCGCCAAACGCCCGCCGTACCGCCCCTAAGCCGTACCGCCCCCGTACCGCCGTTCGCCGCTCAGCCGCTCGCCGTTCGCCGCTCGAACCGCTCGAATTCCGCTCGAAACGAAAACGAAAGTGAGCGACGACGAAGTCAAGCTTGAGTCGCTTGAGAGCTTGACCAGGCTTTTTGAGTGGCTTTAACTGGTGTTTCATTTTTTATTTTTTTTATTTTTTGTTTTTATTACACTCTTACTCCTGTATTTTTGTTTTGTATTTTTCCCCATTTTTTCCACAACACGATTACGCGAAAAGTTTCCGCCTCGTGACTGCCAGCTTCAGTTTGTCAGTTTGTCAATCTCCATCAGCTGGCTGCAAAGAGCGGCTCAGTTTGTCAGTGGGCCGTGGCCAGGATTAGAGCCCGTTTTATTTTTACATTTCCACCATTTTTACCAATTTTACCATTTCAGTTTTAGTAGTGGCTTACACAACCTCCTGCAGCTGCGCATCTCGAAGATGCATTTTTATTGCCCTCTCCCTGCGATACCAAATAATCGTCGGCTTTGCATTTATCGATTTCCATTTTGCCAGTCGGCTACAATCGACAATTCAATTTGATTCCATTTGATTGCATTTCCATTCCCATTACCATTCCGCATTCCGAATGTCTTGCCATGAAAAACAAATAAAGCAACAGATGTCTTGTGCTCATAATGGAAATTTATGAAAATTACCACAAAGTCGTGGGGTTAATGGAAGTCGTGACATCGCACCATTCAGAATAAGCATATTCTTTGAGTTAGTTTTAATAATTAAAGTTCTTAAAACATTGCTGCTTTTTTGCTTAATAAATGGAGTGAAAAAAGGACTAATTTCAAGTGTGGAAATTATATTATCTTTCAAGAACATTAAAAAAGGATATTATAAATAATATTCACCTGGTTTCAATTAACATTAAGGTTTGTATGTTTATTTTTAAATAAGTACTGTCCTATCTATTTATTTGATAGATTTTGGGCAAGAGCTTAAGAGATTTATTTCTGACTTTTATAAAAGTCCTTTTAGTTTAAAAGTCTAAAAAAACTGCTATTTAACATTTCAAAGAGTATTTGCTTTGAAATAAAAAATCATCATTTTGTTACATTGCTTTTGTACTCCATCAGATATTGAATGAATATGATTAATTGTTTACTGCAGGCTTTAAAATCCTTTTGTATTCATGAGAAAGCACATTAAGAGTTCAAGCGAGTTCAGTGAACTTGGTGTTCCGCCAAAATTCTATGGACGTTGCCACCTTGTGGCATTCAGACTCTTGGCTCAAAGAGGGTCTAACTGGGCCTAAAGGTTGCCCACAACATTTCCGCCCTGTCATGCTGGCCATGCACTTTGGCCAAAAGCCACTCGATGATAATCAGAAGCAAAAAACCTTCGGTCGAGCACAAAAGCTCGAAAAAAAATAAAAAGAAATCGAAAATCGAATACTGACCAACCGCAAGACAATGTCGCCGATCTGTGGTTAGCGACAGTTATGAGGTGTTCTTGAATGATCGATCATGATGATATTTGTGGTGATAATGATAATGATACTGATGCTGGAGATGAAGATGATAATGTAGCCTTTGTTTGACCTTCTCTAGAAGCTGAAACAGCAGCGGTCGCTCATAGTGGACGACATTTTTGATAGTTTTCAGTGCGTGAGTGAATGGAATTCCAACTACTAGGCTACAGTGAAGACTGGCTAAGAGGCTTTCTCGGGGAGATATAATATTTTATAAATATAAAATTTCTTGGGAAATATTTATACTTCCTTTGTAAATATTTTTAAATTTTTCTTAAAGTTAGTTGAATACAAAAGCAATATTTTTCGGTAAATAATATTCATTCTTTATGTTTGCAATCGTCGAAATATTTTTTATTTTATTAATAAATTTATATAATTTTATTTTATTGACAAAGTGGGTTACCAGGTTCTTTAAATTATAGATTCAAATTTGGACACATTTTTATATACTAATAATTGTTTTTTAGAAAGCTAAGAGATAATTTGTTTTCTATGTTTTCGTTAAGTTTTTGCTTAATGTGGAGATATTATGTTAATCTCCTCATAACGATTTGTTTTCATATAATATCCTCGACCAGTTTTTATAATCTCAAGCCGAAACTAGTGCGATTATTACATGGTACTCATACCATTTTTTAAAGAGACCACTGTGCTGGCAGTGTGAACCGGAAGCAAGTGTTCAATGCGACTCGATTCGACTCGATTCCATTGGATTCGATTCGCTTCGATTTGATTATGGGTTCGAGCATCGCTCTTTTATTTGCCTTTTATACATATTTTTGTTTTTCCTTTTTTACTGGGCCCCCGGAGCCGATGGAACTGCGTTACCTTCGGCGGCGGACTGTCGCCGCTCTGAAGGATAACCGGTAACCGGTTGGCGGTTTTCAGTTTTCAGTTTTCGGTCTTTAGGTTTTTGTTGGCGGTGCCATGGGTTAACGACCAAGTGGCTGAGAAAGAAGTGTGGAAGTGCAGGCAGACAGACATGCATGGCAGGCTACAAATTACGCATACGCCGCTTGGTACCGAACTCAACTGGAGCTGATACAGCCCAAGATACTGTATCTCGCCGATTGCAAAAGCAAAAGCAAAAGCAGCAGAAATAGCTGGCAAAAAAGCAAAAAGCGAAGGCAGGCGAGCACGAAAGGCAGAGCCAAAATCAGTCACTCGGTCGCCTAGTGAGACTCACTAAACTCACTAAAAGTTGCATGCGTTCGAAATCAGTTTAAGGTGAATTAGATTTTGACACACATACAGCGACAGCGTTTTGCATAAACCAAAAAAACTCCACGACAAAATAAAAAAAAAACATGCTAAAATTATGAAATTAGTCTCAGTTGCTTGGGTCGTCGTTCGCTTTTGCAAAGGCAAAAGCTGCCAAATCGAAAATGACAACGAAATTAGCTTTAATGGCCGGACCTCAGCCTCTGCCCCTATTGTCTGCATCGTTCTTGTTGTTGTCGCGGCAGTGCCACGCCCATTTGGGCGCTGGCGATTAGCAAACGATCCCATCTTTTAACCCCGTGCAACAAAGACAATGCCCAATATTCTCTATTAAATGAAAATTACTTTAAATTATGGTAGGCAGGCTCAATAAAATATATTAAATATTTATGATATATGTTTTTTATTAAAATTTTAATTAAATGTGAATTCCAAAATAAATTTAAGTAAGCAAACGAAGTCTTGGTTTAAACTCACCATTGGATTTCTTTTTTTAATGTTTAAAGTAAACAAAAACATAATGTTATCTTGATGTTTTTAAAGAAACTAAGAATTGCAGAATGTATCATATGTAATGGTCCCCAGAAAAAGCAAGTAAATAGTGTTATTTTTTGCAACCTTCCAAATTTAATTCAAGAAAACAATAAAAACTGCATAAAAAATACAATTTATTATACAAATAAGAATACTAACAACAAATGTTTGCCAAATAAAAAATCAAGCAAATAGACTTATTTAAATGCAATTACTTAAGCTATATCATGCACTTTTATTTCCCATCACAGCTCCAAGTTGCCATATCAGAATTTAAGACCTCGCCACCCTGAGCGATTAATTCGCCTTCTTGGGGGCCAAAAAGGGCCCTGAAATACGACTATATGGTATGGTATCGAATGGTATAGTAGAGGTATAGTTTGGTATCGTCCCTGCCATTGAACGGCAATTCATGGCGCATCAATTAATTCTGGCGACGTTGACATCGCTTTAAATCGAGTCACTTGCAGGCGGAGATTGAGATGGAGATGATGATGGAGATTGAGATTGAGATACCGGAGGAGGAGCAACAGTTCACTTTGCCGTGTGCCCAATGGTGCAATTAAATGTAAAGACATCGCACTGCCATTGTTCGATGTTTGCTGCTGGTTGCTATTCGAGTTTTAATGACAGCCCATAGACAATAACAAGGTTGTGCGGAGTGCGACATGGGCTCCATCATCCGTATTGTTTTTTTTTTTTCCTTTTGGCTTCTTCGTCTTTGATTTAATTGCCAGCGTTTTTCGTCCATTACAGGGACTTAATTCTTCGATTTTATGAGTAATCCGGCAAATGGCTGGCGAGACCCTGGACGGCATGATGATCTACGGGTCGGACTTTGAACCGGATTGAAGTCTCATGTCAATCGTCACGTTCCATGTTCCCAAAACAAAAAGCCGAGCCTTGCATAAATTAGCGATTGCCAAAGCCTCATGTTTCTCAGCCTCCGTCGGTGACTAATTGCAAACAATTACTAATAATAAGTACGAGTAGTTGTCCGACTGTTCAAATAATCAGAGACACAAAGTGCCCCAAATGCAAGCGGACAACTTGATTTCTGGCGTGAAAAGGAAGCTGTCAGTTCGAGAGTTGGGGCTAAGACTTGGTCGCGAATGGAGTGCAAGGGGAATATCAGATGCTCTAAAAATAAAACAGTTCATAATTTCATTAAACATATTTATAAATTGGCAGGAACTTTAATGCAAGTATGTATAATCTATCTTTAAAAGCTCGTAGCTTGGTTTAAAAGGGTTTGACTATAAAGGGTTATATCCTACGCAACCTTAAAATACATTATGTTTAATCCATTCATAAACTATTTCGAAAGGGGTTAAATCATTGAAGAATTAACTGATATTTATATTTAAATACCGTTTCGGATTCGCGTTTCAAATGATAAAAGATGAGCTGAGCTAAAAAATAATGACTTTGGGTCACCAAAACAATTTAATTAACAATTTTTTGGAAATACAAATATTAAATATTGACAAATAAATAAAGTAAGCCCTTGAAAAAAGCCCCGTCACTGAAATGTCCACAATTTGAACATGATATTAAAGCCGATTCCCATGTACAATATCAATATCCATAACCTGCAGATTTTCAGCTCTTCTACTTTGCCAATATGGATTTTGCACTCACTGTATATCCACAAATCTATATGTACTATATATATATATATGCATATATCGGATGGGCAGATGCTGATGTCGGACTTTCGGCAGCCGATGAGCTCGTTAAATTTCGCATTATCCACTCAAACACTTTGCGAATTTGTGGCAGGGAAATGCACGTGTGTGTGTGTTTGGTATGAAAGGCAAAAAAATCATAATGCATTTAAGCCAAGTTAACATGTTAACAACTCTGCGGCTGCGGCGGCTTTTGGTTTTGGCCATCATTTTCAGTTGATTGGCAAACCGAACGTGGTGGCCCAGCGTGGAAAAAAAGCTCAAAACTTTAAGTTACTCAGGGGGGGCGGAGGCGGCAGGGGGGCGTGGCAGCATGCCAACGGGTGTGGTGTGAAAAAAGCGGCAAAGGAAAGGCCATGACGGTGGTTCCATGATTTATAAGCGCTGTCTAGGTGACTTTTTCCCCAAAAAAAAAATAATAAAAGGCATTACGTGATATCGTTCAGGTTTTTTTTTTGGGTCTTTGTTTAATAATTTTATTTTTTATATTTCGGGCGACATCGAAAGTCCCAGAAAGAGGTCAGAAAACAAGAATATTACTTACCACTCTTTAACGCCATGACTTGGCAGATATCAATCAGGCCTTCTGGCAGCTGTTGCCTAAATTTAGACTGTCTGGTTTTGATCGAAGTGATTGGCCGAAAAAAAATAAAAATAAATGAGAAATCGCTGCCGCACAGAGCTGTAAATAATTAAATCCATGAGTTGGCGCAAACAAAAGTGGCGATTGTAAATGGGAGAGCAGCGCGAATTGGGTCATTAGTCTGGAATCAAAATCCTGACAGGGAAGTCAAACCAACGGCTGCCAATTACACAATTTTTCAACGAGATTTTAACAACAAGTGGTTGATTATATTGGGATTGCATTTAGCTGGATTGAGGCCATAAACATATATATTTTATACTTTAATTTTCAATTATTATTTAATCTAATAGGATAAGCGGCTTCCTGTATTCAAATGTAATATATTGATAGCTCTGATTTTGTTTTTTAATTTATTAGAACGTTAATTTATCATTGGTATTTGGCAGCGCACTAGTTTAATTCTACAAGTTGGTCTGCCTTTCAAATATAATTAAATAAAAATTATCATACAAATTTAATCGATCAGTGGCTTGAATTATAAGTTTCACACTTGTGGCAATTGGAATTAATGAATAAACTTAAATTGTGATGCCAACAAAATAAGAGGCGAATTCTACATTTGTAGTGTACTTATTTGAAGATAAAATTTAACCTGAAGCTATTGCATTTTTTATGTTGGCTCATTATGAGCCAACTCGCCTTTATTTAATCCCAGAATTAGCATATAAGAATAACGATCGGTCGAACTAGTTTGGCTTTGAAGATGCCAGATAAGCCATTAGCCATATCTCTGTGTATCTTTGGCCTGGCACTTCGGTTTCTTCAGTCCGCCAATTAGCAGAAATTAACTCGAAGGACTTCTGATGGCTAAGAGTGCGTCGAGTGGAGTGTGCATTGTTTGGGCCAATCTATTCCAGCGAATTGTGGCTTAGAGGCTAAACCAATTGTACAGCCAGCTCTAGGAGGCTGAGTCAAAATCAAATGGACCTGGGGCTAAATAAAAAATAATAATAAATTGCAGCAACTAGTTTGCTTTTAATATTTATGGCGCTATTTGTTATGTTAATTTCTGTTTGCTGCGATTTCTCATACACAAACGAATCAATCGTTTTAATGCTCCAATTCAGAGATTAAATAAGCGCAGTAAGCGAAGTTTATAATTTAGCTGAATCAAAAACTAAAAGTTGCCTGCAAACTGCAACTTTGTATCTTTCGTGTTTTTTTTTCTTGTTTTTTTATGTGGTGTGTGTGTGTGGTGTGTGTGTTGCGACTGTTGTGTGTGTATGTTGCCAGGCAGCGAAACGAAGTCAAACGATTTGGCAAGGTTATTATTTATTGCACAAAGATATGTGTTAATAATACACACAAACACGAATCGAGTTTCGTATATCTTGGCAGCCGTAGTGCTTTTTTCGCCTCTGACAATTGTCAATAAGCCCTAATTGTCGGAGATCGTAATTCTCCCGGGTACAATGTCAAGTGCCGATGGCTCATTAGCGATGGAGTGTGGTCGCCATTTCCGCTTCCGGCTGCGGACCAACTCAAAAGGCTTTTCCGCTGCAAAAATCGCCACACATTAGGGAAAAATAACGATGTCATTTAAAACTAGAGAAGTGCAAAAAAACAATCAGTATTTAGCTTAAAAATCAGTTTAAATGTCCAATATATTCAGACATTCAGAAATGATTTCCATTTGAAGGCTAAGAGCAAGATTGATCGCATTTTAAACACTTTTAACATATTTGGCTTATGTTATATTTGAAGTGTTTTTAACACGCTTTTGTCATGTTTCAAAACGGGATTTTGAGTGACTTGAAGTTTTTAAATATGTCTTTTCAACAGATGGCCATGCATGTTGAAAAACAAAAGAAACATTTATTGGTACATATTTTAGAATATTTTAGGTCTTTTGATAAGCTATTTAACTTCCATACCAATGTTGCTTCGTTGATAAAGATTAAGGAAGACTTATTTAATAAAGTAAACAATGAAGGAACAAAATATCTGAAGAACAATTTAAAGTATCTTGATATTGTGGTTTTATGTTGTTAAAAAAGCTAAAGTAAATAATTGAATTCCTAAAAGATGTAATGCGTTTTTGTTGTAATTAAAGAACCTTTTTCAGGGGCTATGTATTTTATATACCCTGTAAAAAACTACCCTTGAACATCAAGCGTTCAACGTTTTAATGAATCTGACTCATATCCCCATGAATGCCACAAGTGACTTACTATATCAGATCGTAACGTTGCCATTAGATGGCCGAATTAAAAGCCGCCATCTGAGGGCATTCGAAGCATTAAAGGGCACAACATTTGCACAAAGTGAAACAATTATATCATTATTGTCTTGGCTTTGGGCTCGTTTTATGGTGCCTTATAATTACTGCTGCGGCTTTATACTTTTTTTCGGGAGTCACTAAGCTATGTGTACTTAAACGTTCATGCACAGGGAAAAATAAGTGGACAAGGTTCTTCAAACATTTGAAAGTTTACTAATTAAATTCTTATTTCAGCAGGTATGGATTGTATTGATACAAAAACTACTGTTTATAATAAACTGCACTTGCTTTGATTTTATTTATCTTTATATATGAAAAAACTAAACAAATTAAAAACACAATATTTAACTTTGTTTAATAGATTTTAATCTCTTTGGTAATATTTTATTTTAGAAGATGATAATATGACTTAAGTTTTCTGACTTAAGGTTGCCAAAATTAGCACACTAATTTCAATACATTTTAATTAAGATGTTTGGTTTAAAAATGATTCGTTATACAAAACAAACAATTGTGTCAAGTTTTTCCCCCTGTAAGATGTGTGTTTTCGCTTGTTTGATTTAGTTAACCCCAAGTGAGGCACGCTTCAACAGTTGGAATTGCGTTTAAACGCTTATGTCATGCCGATTCAATCCGACCTGGGTAGCTATATAGCCCCAATCCCCCTGTCTTAACCCACTCCCCCCCCTGTCTTAACCCCCTCCCCCCCACCGATCTCTGCGCACTTGAAAGGTTAAACGAGCGTGACGAGCCACCGCCGACGTTTTGCGGCTTGGACTTGGACTACCTGGCTTTAACCCATGTTTGCCATTACGCCGACAGCCCCTTCACGTAATCTCCGCCCAGTCAGTGCCCCCGGATGATGCTGATGCCCAATCTCTCCCATTTATCTAATGGCTAATGCTAATTAACAGTCACGCATAACTGCGACACCTGCATTTCGCATTTCTACCATTTACATAAGGCCTTTATTTCAATCACCTTTGGGTCGCCGAAAGGGGTAAATAGCCGCATTAGGAAATTAGCTAACGACTCTGATCCGTGTCTATTAAATGCCTAATGGGTGGTTAATTGGGGCTTCTAGTTCTGGGCAGGTGAGAACTCTGGTAATTGTGGCATCCGTAGGCTGTAATGTTCTGGTCAGGCTTTAAATTAGATTTTTGGGGAAGTTTTTATCATAATTGCAGCTCATAATAATTTGTGCTAGGCGGAAATTAAAGTGATTTTCATATTTCATTTAAGTATAATTTTCGATCTCACGGAATATAGTTATTAAAGCTAAGTCATAATCATTTTAGAGCTAAGAAAACTAATCTTATGTTTCTTTGTATGATTAAGTACAACAGTTTCTTAGAGAATACTGATTTGAACTAAGGAATTTTCCATTAATGTGTTATTTTAGTAGTAGTATGTAAATGCTCATCTTAACCTTTTTTAAAATGCAATATAGTTGAGTAATAACCACTAGTTTGAACTGGAAAAGTAAACTAGTTTACAGATAGATGTAGTTATATTTGCCTAAGAAAATCCAACCAAGATATGCCACACTGATCAGCTCCACAGACGATTGACCCATTGCACAATTGTCAAAACGAGGGCGGATTTTGTGGGAGGACCCCTCGGCCACGCCCACCGCCCAACTAACCGTGAACGAAAAGCGATCCAAACGATCCATCGAGATGTTATATGAGGCAGTGGACAAACTTTCCGGGACGCAGTTTTCTTTCGATCGGCCGCCAATGGAGAACCAGCGATTGCTCCTCGGATTAATCGGATTGATCGGATTGATTGGACTAATCCTGATGCCAGGATCGGTGGAAAGCAGGCCGGGTGGAATGGAGCTGCAGTCGCACTATCTGCAGGCCATCTCCGCCTATCGCCGGCTGGAACGCATCCTGCCGAAGGACGAACTCAGAGCGGTGACGAGTATTGGATTACTGAATGGCGCCCGCCAGGCGGAGGAGCAAATGGAGCAGCACTTGGTGAAGGCAGTCCGGGAGTTGCTGCTCCAAATGAATCTCACGGAAAGTGGCCGTGTCATGTCCAAAATCGATGCCATCGAACAGCAATTGTCCAGGGATCAAAGGGCGCTGGAAATCCTCACGCGAGTTATGGATGTGGTGTCCCAGGCCAAGGACGATCACGAGTTCAGAGTGGAGCTGAGGGAAATGGCCCAGCAGCAGAAGGAGGAGGAGCTATACAACCAGGAACTATCCGCCGATCTCACAGATCAGCCGAAATTAGGCGAGAGATTGGGCCAACTGAGGATCAATATCATCAAGCAGGTGCCGCAGATGAAAAACGAACTGGAGGCCAAGATAGAGAAGGCCCTGCAGCATTTATTGAAGCAGGCTGGAGAGGATGGGCTCTTGGCCAGGGCCAAGCAGAAGGTGATCCACAAAAGGCAGATCAAGAAGGAAATGGAGCAGAGGAAACAGGAGGAACAGGATGAGGCCGAGCAGCGGCAGATGCCCGAGGAAATGAGGATTATCAAGTCCATATTGTCAGAGGTAGGTCCTCAAATTATTCTTCAATGGAAAATTGAATTAAAATAAATGGAATAAAAACATTTAAATCTTTTTCTTGCAAGACTCAGAAATTAATATCAAATTATTCATATCATTTGGAGTCTTTTTTCAGTTAATCATTAGTGTGCTTATTAGAAGATGTTTAGTTTGGAAAGTAAAATATTCAATGGATCTTAAATATTTGATTCTGTGTTGGAACAAAAATATCTAATATTTGAAATCTGCAAACATTTTGTTTTGTATTTAACTACTAATTTATCGCTATTATCTAATTAAGATAGTAGTTTTAAGTAAAGGGTGCAATAAGCTGATTTTATTTTAAATTTCTATTTACAAAGTTAAGGTCTTTTTATTAGTTTTATTTATTTACATATGTACACATCCTTGTGGTATTATTTTTATGATAACATATTTATACAATTAAAGTACACAATATGGATAATAATCAAAAGCAATACTAATTTATCGTTCTTGTTTGAAAAGTATAAAAGTGCATGTCTTAAGTGAGAAACACTTGATTTTTTAACGCCAGGCTCATGACTTGCGCTTCCAGGATGACTTTCAGGAAAATATGCTGGAGCAGCAGCCGGCGAGGCGCCTCAAAATGGAACCCAATCCCTCGGAGCTCGATGACCTGGAAATAAATGTAAAGGTAAGCACAGGAACCCATTATAAAAACACATTTTTTGTGACTAACCTGATAATGATGATGATGACGACCAATTGACGGCCTAACCCAACATTGACTTGGTACACTTAACCCTTTTCTAACGGCCTCCCGAAGTTGCCAAATGTTACAGCCAAGGCCAAAGGTAAACCGAAAATGAACTCCAAGCCGGAGAAGCAGGTGGATGCGGAGGGCACAGGCTCCTCGGAATTGGCCACAGATGACGGCGATGACCTTGGCGATGGCGATCTGGGAGCGGGCGATGGAGGAGGTGGAGGAGGAGGAGGCGGTGGTCTGGTGGGCATCATTGGCAGCCTCAGTGGTGTGAGTAAAAGGATAAGTAACAAATACCCATGAAAAGTGAGATTAAAGTGGACTTTTTCCAGGGTGAAGGGGGCTCCGATGTGGGTGCCCTAATTGGTGCCCTCACTGGCCTGGTTTCCACTTTATTTGGCGTAAGTCTTGTGGTCATTGAACCCCTTAAAGGCCCCTTAATTTAATGGTTATCCTTCTTAGCCTGGTGGCCTGGACGTTCAAGGTTTGATTCAGACTGGAACCTCGCTGATTTCTGGACTTCTGGGTGGCAACAAAAACTTTGGTCTAGTCCTTGGTCAATATGTGGGCACCGCCTTGGATGGTTTGTCTGGAGGTGGTGGAGCGGTGAGTTTTTATCTAAAAATTATGTAAAATATTAAATCAAATTTAAGGATTTTAAAGATTTTAATAAAAAATCCCTGATTAAATATTAATTTACCGCTGTTTGTATTGCCTTGCAATGAAAAGAATTTCCCAATATTTATTCTTTCTTAGTTATTCAATATTTATTCTTTCTCTTCATAAACTATATATTTTTTTCAGATCAACAATGGCCAGTTTCTGGGCAACTTCTTGGGCACTGTGTTGGCCGCACTCAGCGCAGTATTTATGCTTTATTCTTAGACCTTTTCGCTCCCAACCTGTTAACTGTGTTACTAACCCTAAAATATGATAGCTAATGGACCATGGAATAAACAATTGCTTTCATGTTTAAACAGGATCCCGAGGAGGAGGGTCCGCCGCAACCTTTGACCTTCACCAAGAACCTGATCACCAGCTTCCTGGAGGCCAAGTTCCGGCCAAATTCGGACGAGGACACAGAGGAACGGCATGGCAGTGCGGAATTGCCACGCCCCCGCAAGAAGAAGGAAGGGGGCGGCGGTGGATGGGCGGCTGCAGCGGCAAGTAGTTTTGATTCCGGTGGATTTGTGAAGCAGGTCGCCTCCCACCTGGTGAGCAATGCCCTGGGCCTGATCCTAAATGCCGGACTGGGAGCAGCCGGAGGAGCCTCGAGTGCCGCGAAGAACATCTTCGCCAGCAGCAGCATGGGCCACCATGCCAAGCCGCCAGAACACCACCATCGATCTTGGTCCCCCTACGACAACGAGCCATTCTAGCCAGCTTTAGTCATCACATAATAAAGTTACGTTAATTGTTTGTGTTTTTTTTTTTTTGCTAGTTTGTAATGAAAATAAATAAAGAAGTGAAGAGAAGAGAAGAGAAAGACTTGTTGGTCACTTGGGCAGCTAAGAAAGCGTAAAAGAGGGGCTCTAAATCAAATGGCGTAACCACTCGGACGGCGGCGGCTGATGCAAGAGATCCACTGGAATTCGGTGGAACCACTCCCCCAAGGATTCAGTGGGGCAAATCACTGGGTCGAAAAAAGCGAAAGCGCTCAAAAAAGCGGAAGTAAAAACTAAGTGAAGGGTGAGGGGTTAAATAGAGGGGCACAACTTTAAAACTCGGTGGTTGAGTTCATTGCCTAAAACTAAAGTTCACTAAGGGCAGTATAGAGGAATGAACTTTGGAGTGCGGATTTTGGGTTTATGTTGGAGAATTTGCTGAAAATACAATTGACAATTTAAAAATATTACTTATGAGTCATTTGTCACTAAAAAATATAATGTATAATTATTAAAACTGTAAAAAATGGACATAAATATATATAGAAAATTGCAATGTACATTAAAAGACCAGTTAATGTAAATTAAAAGACAAAAAAAAAAAAAAATAGTTCCAATGCCAACTTGTCAACTAGTTTCGACCACTTTTTTCTTGATTTTTCTAGACTGCTATTAAAACATATAACATAACATATATTTTTTCTGAATTAAAGTAAACTATTTTGATGTTTAATTTGAGAAAAAATAAAAGGATGAATTGCTTAAGAAATATAGGCCCGTAGCTCACTTAACAATTAGTTTAGGCCGAATCTTTTTGGTTTTCCTTGGCTCTCTTTGGAGTCTCTCTCTTGTTTTTAACGTCTTTTCCACCGCACCTTTCTCCGTAGGGCCAACTACTGGGTAGCTTGGCCAGTGGAGCGGACATTGTGTCACTTTCTACTGATTACAGGTTTCATTGAAATGCTTTTACTTACCTTCTTGTGCTTTCTCTGCCTCTCTCGCTCTCTCTTCCGCCTGCTCTCTCCATCTCTCTCTCTGTTTTTTTTAAGTGGTCTGCTTTTGCAGCCGCGATTTTCAGTTTTCAGTTATGCGTGAATCTTTCACAAGACCAAGTGACATTTTGCGGGCCGTTTAGTTGTCGCGTTTTTAATTTGAAAAACCTCAGTTTGTGTTTATTGTTTTTTTTTTTTTGTTTATTTACGCTGTTTGTGCTGGTTTATTTGCATTTTGAAATTGTTAATAAACTCAATTATATATTTGGGTGCTTCAGAGAGTTCGCATTGCAATTAAGTTTGGCAAGCCGCATCTTTATTTTATACTTTTCAGGTGAGTTTACGTATATAAAGTGGTTAAAAGCAAAAAAAAAAAAAAGGGAAGCGAAAATCCCAGCTCAAAATGTGTGTCAAAACGAAAGACTTAGGCAACGAACTTGCTAACTGGGCTAAGCCTCAACTCGAAATGCTGGCCATAGGTCAGGTCTGTTCCAAAAACCAACAGCACCACGGGTGGTGGGCAACGGCAGGGGGAAGGTGAGGGGGTGAGGGGGGCGCCTTTGATTAGCGCTTTACCATTAATCGCTTTGGCTACCGAAATTTGGCAACAGCGCCGACGTCAACAATGCAAAAGTGACGACTCAAATGCGTTAATTGCTTCATAAATCAATTAACAAAGCCAAAAACTTTACCAATACTATGTGTAAGCCGAAAAAAGGGAGAGTTTTATTGTTCTCTTACGACGGAAACTTTTGATTCCAATATATCATATTGTCTTTTGATTTTATTAAGCTAATGTAAATATTGAATGAAACAATTTCGAACAGCTTTGTTGATTGATTTGATAAATTATACAATTTTTGTTTATATGATCTTAATTATTTTCTTAAGGTTTGTAAATTTAAGACAGTCAGACAGGCAGCCGAACATGTTTTTATCGACTCAAAAATTGATACTGGTTAAGAAAAAAATATTTTTTATAGGGTTGGGAACGCCTCCTTCTACCGCTTACATACTTGGCAAAGAATACGTTTTTTAATAAAAACCCTGGGAAATATTGGTCAAATATTGGAATGTCATACCTTCTTGAATTCCTTATAAAAATTCCAATCAATTGGCATGAACAGCAAAAAAATTTGATTTTTCACCCATTTCTGCAAAAAATTATGATTACCCCCTTATGAAAAAAATTAAAATCGGTCAAATCGATTGTTTGGGTCGTCAACTTTACAAAACAGTTAATCTTTTGGTTGTGCATCGTTTTTTGGCGAAGTTTGAGCAAAAAAGCCTTTAAAAGTGTTTTCTCGAAAATGCTTTTTTTTGCAAAAAAAAACCGGAAAAAATCAACTAGAGTTTCGGTTTTTTAGTCAAAACTCTAAAAAATATTGGTCGCATGTTAGAATGTCATACCTCGTTAAATTCGTTATAAAATTTCCCTTCGATTGGCATTCACAGCTAAAAAATTTTATTTTTGACCCATTTTGGCCAAAAATCATGAAAAATCCGAAAATGGCTCAAAATGTGTTTTTGTCCAAATCGGGCTGAAATCGATTGTTTGGGTCTGCACAAAATAACTATTCTTTTGGCTGTGCATCGTATTTTGGCGAAATTAGAGTAAAATAAATATTAAATACTTAATTTTTTAACGGCTGCTAAGGTATTCCAAAATCTTAGTAAATAATTTTAACCAATTTTCAGAGTTACTAATTTCTTTAATAGTTAAGGTACATTTCCTTACAAATGTTTTAGAATTCGCTGATTAGATCTGACACTTAACTGTATCTTTTTTATTATATTTGCTTCAAGTTCAATAAAAAATTGCATATTTAAAGAAGTTTATTTATAAAAGTGAGCAAAGGGGAATTTTCTCTAGTCTTAATCAGAGGCAATTCCATAATTTCGTTTGTTTAATCTACGCATTTTCGGGGTTAACTACCTGCTAACCTATTGGTCATTTCGACCTGACCCCTGTCTGCTGCCATGATTGCGGATGAATAAAAATCAGAGCTGAAAACACACTCAAGCCACGACTGGTCTGGGCCATGCAAGAGTGGCCTGGCCCAAAGAAACCGGTAACGGTCTCAAGGTCGTTCGAGTCGATGGCTCTGGCCAGATAAGCCTTAGCCCCAAGATACAGCAGCCATCAACGCGCTTTGGGCCAAAAGCTAAAAGCCATCAGCCATCAGCCATAAGCAATAACAAATGCCAGCGATGATAGCTGGGCCAAAACCGAAAAAATCGAAAACGAGGGAAAAAGCGAAAGTAAACGCCATGAAAGTGGAGCAGTCGAGCTGGAAATCCGCCGAAGGCAAACCGGCGAGGGGGCGTCTCTATATAAACAAAAAGATATATGTACAGGTGTCATATCTAAGTCGGTCAATAAGTTTATTGACCAGACAGCGCTCCGATTTCAGGGGTTGTTTTGCGGGAGAGTTATGCAAATCGATTGGGGCAACCCGACAGCTAAAAGCGTAGAAACTTATCAAATTGATCGTAAAACAATGCCCCCTTTTGGGCCCGCTTATTATGTAAAACGTGAAATTTATTTCCACCCTTTTACAATAAGTTTTGTGATTTTATGTTTCAATTATGAGCGTTAAGGTCCGTATCACACATCTTGTCTTATCCGAATTTTCACACTTTTATATGATGATATTTCTCTGGGCAGTAAATAAATTGATGCGGGTATTGGCTTATGAACGGCTGTCTATTGTTGAAGATATTTTGTTGCTTATTAAAAAATAGTTTTTATACTCTTGAATTATTTGCTTAGCAATTTCATAAGCCTCTTGCATTTTCGTTTAGCTCAGAAGTGATTTCCAATTTACGGCTCATTAAACAGCAGCAAGTTCTGCACGGCAATTAAGCAAAGTGATCAGATTCGAAATGCCTTTCAAAATAAAAACTAAAGTCAAAATGATATTATTATGAGAGGCGACCTTCGCTAGCCGCCAGTGGCGAGCTTTATTAATACTATAATTACTGTAATGTCTGAACAAACAAATAAACACCACCTGACACCAGAATCAGAATCTCCGGCAACCTTTGCGCCGAATCAAACGAATCATTTTGGCCTGGCCAAGAACAAAGTTCGCTCGGCTAATTCTGATGCCAAGTCTGAATCCGAGTCTTAGTCGCCGGTGAGTGGTCCGTTGGCAACGCCTTTTCCAATTAAATTCGACCCGGCTATTGGGCACGAAACAAAAGCTCTTGATGTGAAGGATTGGCTTAAACATGGTCTTAATATAAACCAAATTAACTTTTTTCGATTAAGAGCATTGCATTTGCGGGCCAATTAGGCCGACTGATCTCGACAGGCAATTCTTTGTGAGGTTTCCTTCGCTCATTGCCACATTTAGAGATTGTTTTAGCTTAAAATGGCATAAAATGTATAATTAACTCCAAAGGTTAAGCTATAAATTATTAAGAATTCAATTTAAGTTGCATCATTTAAAATAATAAATTATTTTTAGAAAAGAAGATCACTCAATTAGTTTTTAATTTAAAACTTGCTTCATTGACATTTATAAGAGAACCCATCTAAATATTATATATCTTATCCATCTGTATGTTTTAACTTCTCTAGAAACCCAAAAGTATGACCAATAACTTAGGGTTTCTTAAGATTTTCTTTATGCTTTTACGCCACATTAATTGTTTTTAATAATATTCCTTACCTGCAATGACAATTCCTTTGGTTAAATGCCAAAAAGACGGGCCGTAAAAATACTTGCGCAAAGCCATCAGCAGTTCATTAGAGGCCCATTGCAGTCGGAGTTGAATACATTAGATGGAATTGGATGCGGAATCGAGTGGTAGCGGTGGCTTCTGCACCACCTGGTTAACGAGCCTCGTTGGCCGATCCGCTCTGGGCCCAAAATGAAAGCCGGGCATGTTAATGGCTTATAGTTATGGCCGGTAACCCCCAAGTTTCGGCGTGTAAGTGGTAGATCGTAAAGCTATGGGGCCTCCATAGACCTGTTACTTGTTAGCTGTTTCACTGCATTTTCCTGCGTGCACTTCGCGGAGTCATTGTGGCCAGAACAGCGATGAGCAGCAGGTGACATTAATGCCGAGGCCCGAAACCGAGAAAAAAGCCATCGCATAATGCATAATGACAGCCGTTGCATAACCCCCCTCGCCGATTGGGTAATGCCAAATTATGCCCCGACATGCCGGCGAAGGGTAATATATATATATATATATACACCGACTATTTCCAGAGAACAAGTTGCCACTGGTTAGTACGGATTTAATGCGTCTGCCCCACTAGTTTGCCCCCTGACATTTTTTTTTTTTTAACCACGTCAACTAAACTCAAAAACTGAAGAAAACTGTAACCAAAGGCGAAACTGGAAATGCAATGAAGATCTGGTTGAAGAAACAAAAACCATTTAGGTTCAGGGGGCAAGGATTTGGGGCGCTTTTGGGGTCTTGGCCAGGCCAAAATGGTTGGCTATGTGTGGCATGTTTCTGCGAGATTGGCTCGAATAAAAACAAAGACAAAGTGCGCCTGTCTTTTTGTTTTTGGTTTTTTTTTTTTTTTTTTTTGCTGTTTTCTGTCATAAACATTATGACACGCGCTGTAACTCTGGCAGATTGACAGCTTGACTAACTGACCAATTGACTGACTGGAGGGGCTGGCCAGCAATTATGGCGTTCTAATTGAGGCGCCTCAACGGCAACGAGCTGTAATTGAATTTCATGGATAATTTGCTAATTGAGCTGCCAAATAAGGCAGAACAACAAGCCGCCTTTTTTTTAAATGCTGATCTCAAGAGATTTAATTTAAATTCAGAACATGAAAGTGACATAAAAGTTTAATCAAACAACATTTATTTAATAAGTGCGAAAGGTTATCTAAACAACTTTCTTTGCGAATTTCCAATACAATAGTTCGCATTTTGAATATCTTAAATAAACGATTGGATTAAAGAATTGGTTTAAATTTAAATTAGGTCTCCTGGTAAATAAATAATATTTAACATGCTATAAGAATATTATTGTCTGTAATGCTTACATGTAAAACGTAAAGCTGACAACTTTAAATTTAGATTTACATAGAGTAATTGAGTTTATTTATTTATTACATTAATTAAATTCCAAAAAATGAATAACTTTTATAAGTACTTTCTGACTTACTTTTACTCAAAAAAAAAATGGGTCAGAGTGTGGCTTTAATTTTCCGAAAACATCTTCAAGGGCTTCGTGCAGGCGAGTCTCGTTTGCGGCGACAAGAAAATTGAAAGTTAATTTAGCTAAGGCCACAAAGTAAGAGGCACTCGAGCATGCACTGCTCACAGGTTCTGCGATCTGCGATCTTCACGAGATCGAGGACGGATGTGGATGTTGAGATGAAGGTGGAGATGGAGGTGGAGATGGAGGTGGAGATGGAGGTGGAGGCCTCAGAAGAGACATCTCCCGACCTTGTGACCCACAAAAAACGCTGACAGCCGAGCGTGCACTTTGCATTTTGTGTCTTTGGTTTTTGCGGTTTCGTTGCTGAAATTTTTACATATTTTTTTATTTGTCATTTCAACGGATGCGCGCATTAATTTTGCTTTATCTGGGGCCCTCGCTCGTCCGTCTGTCGTCATATAAAATAAGAAATATAAATAAACTAAAAAAAGCAACCAGTCGCCCGAGTTTGAGGGGCAAGGTGTGTCACGTCAATTAAGGATTATGTTTCGGTCCCGTTCCAGCAAACGACCCAGGTGACCTTGAGCCGAGGCGTTGATTTAGCCAGCACATTGATAAGCAAATTGCCGGATTGCGGCAGAAACGGGTTAATTGGCTGCCAGGGGTTAATTAGAAAGGTTTCCCCAGCGACCAGTGACATTTGCTGGTAAATGAGCCTGATGGCTTGATTACTGGGGATGTCTTCAAGGATCAGAAAAGTAACATGATCAACAACTCAATTTTTTGTATAAATGTTAATAACTTACACTCCAAAAATATTTATTAAATTACGAGCATAACATATTCTTTAAAAACAGTATACTTTAATCGTTTTTTAAACATTTACATATATTAATTTGCATAAAGAACTGGTTCGTCCTAATGCTTTTATTATTTTTAAATATTATACAAACATTAAAGCAAAAATGGTCACTGAAAATAATCAATGGAAAATGAAGGTTTCCTGTTCCCTATTTTTTTTTTGTTTTTTTAGTTCACAAATGTTTTTATATTTTTAGAATAACAACTTTCAACATAACGTGCCACAAACAATTTGTTTAGCAAAAAGGCGCAAATTGTTCAATAAATCATGCAATTGCATGTTAAACATAATAAACATGCTAAAGTCGAGTGCAGATGATCTCATTCTGTTTAAGACCAATTTAAATCTCCAAATTGACTTAATCAACTGTTTCGATTCGATATGATTCGATTCGATTGGAATTGCAAGCGATTTTTTTTAGTTAATTGTTACGAATTCAGAACTCGGTCCGCAGAACTGACTAATTATACATGCAGCGGCAGGCCGGCATTTCGGATTGTATCGGATCGGATCATATCGGATCGGTTCAGAAGCGATTGGATCGCATTGGAGTGCTGTCCATGCACCCGACATGCAATTCCAGTTATTAAGTTTCGTCTGAATTCGATACGCGCACTTTGACTCCAATTTATCGGTCTCCCTCTGGCGTCCGAAGGCGAGCGACTTGATTTAATTTTCTTTAGCTTGTATTCTTTTTGCCCGGCCTGCGATTCTCGTTTTTTGTTCTCTAGCCTACGACGACATTTTACTTCTAGCCATAAATACGTATAATTTATGCTGATTATTAATCGTAAAAAGCGCATTAACATGCGATTTTACATAGGCATTTCGATTTAAGTTGGTTTGATCTACTAGTATATCCAGCAAATGTTAAATTCTTAGTCAATGTTAGGGTCAAGGAATTCGACTTTAGTTGCTTTAAGGGAGGTTAACATTTTGTCTTCCATTTATTTATTCCCTATCAAACATATATTAAACTTTTATTATTTATTTGATATTGGCCTAATTATGTTTTATAATTGAAGAATTTGCGTTAAGCTTTTTAAGTATATTTAAAAATATTATTATTAACAAAAATTGTAATATATGTAATCAAACATTGTTTGCACAAAAGGAAAGTATTGTCTCAAAAATCCAGTAGTGTTTACACTGGAATAAATTCATCTTCTAAAGGATGTATTTTTGATTAAAGTTACCAGCTTAAGACGAGCAAAAATCCTAATGGCTTAAATGTAAAAGAAATTATATAATATATGATTCTCTAGCCTTAAAATGAGATATGCAAATTGGGAGAATGCCAAGTCTTATAGGATTTCAATGAGTCCCTTATATAACTAAAACAAGACGACAAACCCTGCCGAAAAAGTGCTTGAGAATGCACATTGCGCATACGCCGCGTATGACCGACTTGTGCCCCTGTTCGTATGTGTGTGTTAGTGAGTGTGCCTTAATTGAAAGCCAAAGAGTACAAATTAAAAGCGCATTGCAGAAACACCATTAACAAGACAACAACACCGGTGACTTAACATCTCCGGCGGCTGGTTTTGCACTTTATTGAGCGCTTTCCGTTCGGATTATTTGCGCTCAAAAACGTGTTTTTTGGCGCCGGCGTTCCGCTCGAATCGCTGCCAACGTCGCCGTCGACGTCTTGCATCCAACGTGTCCAACGTATCCAACGAATCCACGAATCGGGCGGCAATAAAATTCAATTTGGCCGGATTGCGTTGCTCTGTGATTTTTCGGTGGATATGGCTGCGGATTTTTTGAGTGGACTGCGCTGCGGCGCTTAACAAAAAGCTCTGCGCATGCGCCGTGGGCTGTGTAACCGATTTTTTGGCCACTGCTAAATCATTGAAGTAACTTTCGTCCGCAGTCATTTGCTTAAAGTTAGTGAACGTGCTAGTATCGCGTATCTGGCGGCGCGGCTCCCAAGACGACAACAATAACACTTGCTCACAAGTTTACCAAACTTTGTTTATTTTTTTCCGTTCGAGCTTAAAGTTTGTGTTTTGTTTTGCGGTACAGACGAGATTTACAAAAAAAATTCATATAAAATAACCGAAAATTTTCCACTGCAAAAAGCCTTTATAAACCTATACATTTTTTGTTGCAGAATATAAATATGCAGTTCACCAGGAGCCGTTTGTTATTATCGATGGCCGTGCTATCGGCACTGCTATCGTTATCGCTGAGCGCCCCCGCTCCTCAGCAAATAAATTCGGAGGTTGAGGCCAGTTTCCAGGATACCAGCGAACCCGACTTGAATCCCATCAATGCAGAGGTAACAAAATAAAGGCAAGACCCTAAACCATCCGAGAAAAAATCCAAAAAAAAAAAAAGAACCCAAGACCCACCGAGAAAAATTCAAAACCCTCGGCGAAAAATCCAAAAAAACCAACAAGGAAGTCTGCGAAAAATTAAAGAGAGAGAAAAATAGGAAAACTTGATTGTCTCCTGGCGTGAAAGTAAAAATTTCCCGCTCTCTCTCTCTCTATTTTTCTCTCATTTGTTGCAAATTTTCAACGTTGTGCAAGCTGCTAATTTTGTGGTGCATTGAACCGACTTCTGGCCAATTTCTGGGCCCCGTTCGTATGCAAATCGTATGTAAAATAAAAGAGCCAAGAAAAAATGGCTTACAACCAAATTCGATTCCAAATTCGTTGGCCATTCGAGACCAGACGACCTTGATGGCGACAAAACTTGTTAACGACCTACGTTAACATTTCAAAACCATTCCAAAACCGAAAAACCAAGAAACCAAAAAAAAACCAAAGCCAACGCCTCGGCCAGAAAGAGAGGGTCAGATGCGGTGGGAAAGAGAGGGGTATAGGGGAGCCTCTTCATGGCTCATCACCTCTTCTTCTCTCGCTTCCTCTTATTCGCACGGATTGTGAAACATTTCCGCGCCTCCAAAAGTTGGTTCATATATTTATTTCTTCGTCTTCGTGTTTATTGATTCAACCACCTTTAGTGAAAAGCATTAAATTCGAGGTAATTGCTTGGGAAATTGGGGAAACGCAAACTGAGTGGGCATTAAAGTAGTAATGGCAGTCTGTAAAAATCAATTTGCTGAACAACTAGGACTGGTCAATTTAAAAACAAAAGGAACTAATATTGAAATAGATATCTGGCTAGTTGCTTTTAAAAAAGCATTTAACTTTCAAAAAAATGTTTTCTTAAAAATATGTAAAGTATTTTTTAAAAATCTTTCAAAATTGTGCAATATATAAAACCAAATTTGTTGATTATTTGTATAGTTAAAATTCAAAAAGTTACCCATATCTGTCTGACAGCCAAGCATTATCTAAGCCAACATTTTTCCACTTTTCCATTCAAGTAGTAGTTAAACTTGTTGTAAATCCCTTCGCTTAACTGCTTGTTCAGCTTTCAACAACTGACCTGATTTTGCTCTATATAAATCATAGCTCACGCTTTTTGTTTGTCACTTCAACAGACAAAAACAAAAAGGTGTGGAGCGTAATGTGTTTAGCGTTTTGTTAAACTAATAAATCGCCTAGTTGTTTTAGTTTCTCGAAACCCCAAAACAAAAAAATTATAAACAAGAAAGGAAAGCTAACTTCGGGCGGAGCCGAAGTTGAAATACCCTTGCAGAATATTCTGCAAATTATATTCTCCAAAATTATTCATATGATGCATTCTTAATACTCATAAAAAATCCCAACTTTAAAAACACGAAAGTTATGGCATTTCCGATCAATCAGTTATATAGAAGCTATAGGATATAGTCGGCCGATCTTTATGAAATTTGGTACGTCGTATTGATTGGCCAAATATAAAACCCATAGAAAGTCCCAACTTCCTAACTTAACAAACAGCAGAGTTATGGCATTTCCGATTAATCAGTTATATGGCAGCTATAGGATATAGTCGGCCGATCCTTATGAAATTTGGTACGTCGTATTGATTGGCCAAATGTGAAACCCATAGAAAGTCCCAACTTCCTAACTTAACAAACAGCAGAGTTATGGCATTTCCGATTAATCAGTTATATGGCAGCTATAGGATATAGTCGGCCGATCCCGGCCGTTCCGACTTATATACTGCGTGCAAAGGAAATAAGGGTGTGTGCAAAGTTTCAATTCGATATCTTTAAAACTGAGAGACTAGTTCGCGTAGAAACAGACAGACGGACAGACAGACGGACAGACGGACAGACGGACAGACGGACAGACGGACAGACGGACAGACGGACAGACGGACATGGCTATATCAACTCAGGAGGTGATCCTGATCAAGAATATATATACTTTATAGGGTCGGAGATGTCTCCTTCACTGCGTTGCACACTTTTGACCAAAATTATAATACCCTCTGCAAGGGTATAAAAACAAAGCATGTGGGCTGCTTGAGGCGGTTTCGAGTTGGGCAATCTTAAAAACTCTCAAGAGGGAGAATGGCAGAACAATGAACCCAAAAACGCCAAATGAGTTGCATAATTTTCGAGATATTAGTTGTGATCAAAATCAGTGGGCTGAAGGCGAATTTTTGTTAAACGTTTTCAAGCTGATTAACTGTTGTCGTTGCCTTGTCACTTTGTCTTTCATATTATTTTGCTGTTTGTTTCAATAGCTTGTTCACACATATGTTAAATTTTTGACTTTGAAAATATTTCTTTTGGCAGCCAATACAAAAAATATGAAACTGTTTTTTAATGTAAATAAAAAGTTATCCCCAGAACTCTTATTTATTCGATCCATTGCTTGCTCCTTTAAATATAATTTTTGTTTTTATCAGAAGCTTAATTTGTATAGACTTAAAAATCATCTTGGTTCGACTTTAATCATTTTTAAATTTCTACGACCCTTAAAACTTTTTCAAACATGTTAAACGTATAATCTATTTGCCAAAAAGCAGTCAATCTATTTCATAACATATTAAAAGACGTCATCGAGTGGTTATAAAAAGGTCGTATAATTGCAAGTACGAAGAGCAATGCACAAGTTCCGTTCGAAATTCGAATCCGAGGGATTGAGTTATGCGTTTTGGTTGGAAATGTGTTGATTTCGGCTCCGATATCGCGGTGCATACATATTGGCCAAATGACGAGGTGAATTTTAAGTGCCTTGGACCAGCGATCGGCCGAGAAGCGGTCCGAAAGTACCAGATATAGCGATAGACGTCGGCTTAGAATGACCGAAGGTCCCCAAGTCCACAAGTGATATAATTACTTATGTATGTACATGAGTGCTTTTTTTTTTTCTTAGGCCAGCCCCGAAAATTGGGTCAAGTCTAACTGGCCCCCAGTGTCGAGTGCTTTTTTACCCGCTCTTTTGCAGCAATTAAACTTGAAGTCAGCACTGGCAGTATTCACCAGGTGTAATTAGGCAAAGAATCCAATCGATTAAAGCCAGACAAAACCGAAAATGTCTGATCGGCAATTAGGCAAGATAAAACATGACTGGAGAAAAATTAATATATATACTTAGAGATCGTAAAAGAAGTTGAAAATGGCAAGGCAGGGTATTACTTGTATGTCTCAAGAGTACGTTTACAAATTGTATAGTTGCTGTAATTGTTTTTTGAAAAGTTATTTGCCAAAAACTATTATGACTAAATTGAACGCAGATTAAAGTTTTTAAAATCTCAATCATTCAGTTTTAACCAATTTTTATTAAAACTAGGTATCCTATGTGTAATATAAGCTAATGGGAGTAAACCAAATGAAATATAAATATTTTAAACCAATTGATTGCTTAAAAAAAAAGCAAACAAGGACCAATTTCCGTGGTATTTACTACCAATGTGCCATTGCTCCTTCCCGTGTGGGTGATCCTGTATTTTCCACTTCGATTTCCATTTCCAGGAGGTGTTAGGTGTCCAGGAGCGCAACAAAAGAAAACTGCCCGAAGCCACATTCGAGGCTAAGAACGCTGTGCTCGGCTTTGTGTTTGGCGTGAGTATTTAAATGGATCGGTAATATGAAAAATCAAAATGAAAAAACGTGTTTCAAATATATATGTAGAAAATCGACAATTTCCTGGACACCAAGACGCGGGTGATCGAGCAGCTGGACCGTTCGAATATCGAGAAGAACAAGCAGTGGGACATCAAGTCGCCGGTGCCCATCAAGGACTTCCAGACCCTGATCACCGCCGTGGTGTCGCCGAAGATCCGCTCGATTGGCAACATAGCCAACGACCTGACCACCGGTGTCCTGACCACCATCACCGCCTTCAGTGGCTCCTCGTCGGGCGGCGGCAATGCGAATGCCGGTCTGGGCAATGTGGTGTCCAAGTTCCTCGGCTTCTCCGGACCCATCCTCCAGGGATCCTCGGGCGGAGTGAATGGCATCGCCGGCGTGACGTCACCGGCTCCGGACTCCGATGAGGCGGGCTACTAGGAGGCATACTCCCAACGATCCAAGGCCAACTAATGAGAGCTGTAATTTATCGTTGATCTATTTTTTTCCCCTCCAACACATCCATCGGAATCTTTGTTGAACTTTCAACCCTCAACCTTCCTCACTCGAATCGTTTTTATTTTTTTTTGTTTACACCCTAGTTAAGTTTCATGTTTGTAAATATTCGGCATAAACAAAAAAATATACATATATATAGAGAAATTCACGACTCCACAAAAACGAATAAAACCGAAAACAGAAAACCAATTCACTACACACCTGGTTTCAATGGCGGCCTTGGCCTTGTCGGGTATTTGGGTTTTGAATTTTGGATAATGGATTTTGGGTCTTGGATTCGGATCTCTCTGCCTCATTCACATCGCTCATCTATATTTATCTATATATATATATGTTTATCTCGCAGAGCAAGAGGCGTCGTCGGGCGGGGGGCAAAGATCTGAGCGATGCCGCCGAAATCATGAGCGATGCCTCCCTGGAACTGCCTTCTGAGCTCCTGAATAAATCCCTGCTGACGGTCACCAATATCTCAAAGTCGCTATCTCGACTGATCCTGGTAAGTGCTGGCCAAATATGAACTATTGGCTTTTTTGACTACATTTTAGACTTATCATTCAATTAAAATAAAATAAAACAGTGACAAAAGTTTTCAAAAAATGTTAAGTTAAATTTTAGCCAAAACTATTTATATTTAATGACAGCCTATTATATTATTTAATTTACAAAAAACAAGAGAGGGAACAATCTTCGGCAAGCCGAAGCTTCTATACCCTTGCTAATACATAAATAAATAATATATTTCATAACAAAATTACAAAATATGTATAAAAAATTATAAGCCAAGTTTTGAACACAGATTTTTGGGGAATTAAACCACAAGTGTTTTGATATATACCACTTCAAAATCGGATCTCTGTGAGAAAAGTTATGAGCTTAGAAGTGCAGATTTTGGGCACTTTTCCGCAAACCCATTTTTCGAAAATTTGGAAAGGGGTAACATCATTAAAAATGACGAAATATCGACCCAAAAAAAAAAATTTAGCTAAAAACACAGATTTTTAGGGAATCAAACCACGATGATTTTAAGGTATGCCACTTTGAAATCGGATGTCTGTAAGAAAAGTAATGAGCTTAGAAGTGCAGGTTTTAGGTAACTTTTCTGCTAAGCCAGTTTTTAAAAATTTTAAATTTCATCATTGACAATTTCATCATAAAAAGTGACAAGAAAGAAAGACTTGAAAGAATACTTTTGACTGAAATTATTATACCTTTGCGACTGAATAAAAAGAGTATAAATAATTTAAATAATATTTAAATATTTTTATGTGTATTATTAAATCCTCCCCAGAACTCCGCTCGTCGCTACTCCCGCTTCGTGCTCTTTTTCAAGCCAGTTTTTGGAGATGCCCTGGTGGTCAAGGGCTCCGAGGATCCCACCACAACTACAACTACTACAACTATTCGCACCACCACAACCACCGAAGAGACTGAAAAGCTCAACGAAGTCTAAATAGAATTTATTTGTATTTTTTTTTATATTTTGTTTTTTGTTTTTATAAACCTTATGGGTCTTTTGTTAATGTGTGCCTGGTATAACCAATGAAATAAACTATATACTTATTTATTAACTACCGCGGGGTCGAACCATCATGCGGACAATTTTCAGAGAGCCTTTGGGTCCGTCCAGAAAACCACGCCACAAAATGCCCTTGAAACCATCGACATCTCGTTCAAGATGACGTTGATAAAGTCCAAAGGGGTTGCTGCAAGAAAATGGGATATAAATAATATATTTCTGTATAATTTTCTGTAATTATGGTTTGGTGATGATATTTGTAATGTTGTTAAAAAGAAAAGTAGTTTCACTTGACCACATTGTTAAACAATTTTAAAAACTAGAATCGAATTGTTAGTTATTAATTATTTCAACTACTATTAAAAAAGCATACTTTTTTTTGTGTTAATTTTACAGTTTAGTGTTATTAGCGAAATAACAGGAATCCCACCTGAGATTGCAAGAGCTGCCATACCAAAAAGCGCCCGATTGTAGGGCTGCGCAATTCTGCTCGCTTTCGTCGTTATCCCGATCCTGGGTACTGAATTTTTTGCCAGTGTGCTGACGCAGTGCGTCGGCGGCATCGCCTTGGTATTTTCCCAGGACATTCAGGCGGTACTGCTCCGACTCACTGCCGATGCTAAAGTGATCGTAGAGGGCATATCGCAGCTCCTGTTTGCGATTCTGCAGCTCAACCAGCAGTTCGTAGTTGTCACTGCTGGTGATCTGGTGCAACTTGTCCAGTCCAATGAAGAACTCAGTGGTGAGGGGCCCAAAGCCGATCTTGTAATCGGCCCACTTGCGACTGAAGTCCTCCTTGCCATCGTTTCGATTGACCACCTTGGTCCAGCCACCGCCCCTCACCTTCTGGTCGCAAAAGACGAAGAAGGGCTCCACATTCAAGCTGGGTCGGATTAGCACGACTCCGTGCTGCTGTTTCACGCAATTCACGGGAGTAGTGGGAGCAACTGGTGCCCCAACGGCGGCCAGAAGTTGTGGATCAATGTCCAGGCTGTCGAAGTTCAGAGGTCTGTGTATTATTACTTGAATTATTCGGACTCTTAGCCTTATACTCACAATCGAGAGCCCAGGGCATTGGGCGAGGTCAGTGCCGTTAACGGAGGACCACCTGCCCTCCGCAGATCCACCAATTGCTCCTGGAGACTGCCTATCTGCTCCTTGAAACTGGCTATTTCTTTGCTCAGCGACTGCATCCGAGTGGTCAGACCACTCAAAGCCGAAACTGGACAGCTACTGGTACTCTGGAAAAGATATATCATATTAATAGACAAATTTGTTATTATAGAAGTATCTTAAATCTATTCCTAGAACGTGTATAAGCTTTTAGTTCGTATGGTTTTGCTTATTTTTGTTATATAGATAGCTACTTAGTCATATTTTAACTTTTTTAGCATAGCAATGCAAATAAATCGTGATCAAGGTATTTACTATAAATTAAATCGCTGAAATATGCGTTATATTTTTAATCCAAAAAGCTTCTTGAATTGTAAACAAAAAGTTTTTTAATGGCTTATACTATTTAAATTTCAAATGATATTACACATTGCTTGTGATTCCCCTTAAGCTGGCTTTTCCCTATGTAAAATAGGGAAATAGCTGGAACTAAGGAAAACTGGTTTAGTTTTTTCCCTGCAAGTACTGTAACTTGGTACAGACTTGGGAGGTTTTCCGAGAGCATCGGTAAACTCACCGCATTTTCCAGGGAGGGCGGCACCACCAGACCTCCGCCCAAATCCGTTTGCGTGGTGGACAGACAGGCCATGGCCATGACCAAGGCGTCCAGCTGCAGCATCTGCGACATATTCCCACTGCCGATCGCTGTCCACCCAACTAACTAACTGACTGACTAACTAACTCCCGATCGGAGGCACAGTGCGAGTGCGAGTGCGAGTGCGAATGGAAACAAAGGTCACTTGATTGATTAGCATTGAGAAACGGGTATGCTAAGCAGAATCGCCAAGTGTTGGGCAGTACTCTCCCATCAAGTGATCGCAAGTTAACAACACTAAACACAACACTTTTTATCCTTTACACAGATTAATTGTTAAAAGGAGTAAAATCTGATTGCCTACGAAGTATTGTAATTGTGTTTTTATCTTATGTTGTTAAACAAAATTACAATGAGTAGTTTAAAATATATTCATTTGAGATCTGAATTCGATGGAAGAATATTATTGTCATTGAATATTTATAACTTGTTTCCAAATGTAAACAAAACACAAATATATAAATACTTTGCTTAAAATATAAATATATTATTTTTTTTTATTTATATATAATTACTTTCCAAAAAAATATAGATAAATATTCATCTTTTTGAAAAGGAAGTTATAATTTGTTACAAATGTATTTACCTAGCCAAAACCAAGAAACAACATTTGATTTAATTATTCCTTAATTTTAAAAGAGATTTTTATGAAGTTATGTCGATTATATTCAACGTTAGGAACACTGTCAATTGTTGGAAACAGGTTCTGTTAAATCGTATGGATCAGTGATTTTCCCGTCACAGTGATCGCTTCACCTGCCGTGACTTCTGCGGCATCTCCGATAAACAAACAGCTAATAACTAATCCAGTGAGCTAGTGAGTCAACTTACTTAGTCAGTTGCCCAGACGAGCAGATGCAACTGCGTTGTCGCGCTGGCACAAATTGAGTCTGGAATCGAAATATATATCGGATAACACATAAAATAAGGAATTTATATAGGCATGGCGCTGGAGGCGCTCGTCACGGCTTTGGCCTGCCTTAGCACCACCACGAATGGCACGAGTAACCTGCCAGGAAAACACTTTTCCGTGATAACAAGAAACTCGGCGGAGCCTTTTCTACTAGCTGAAAATGTCAGTATGAATGCCACTGTATGAATTTTAAAATGATCTTAACATAAATTTCCATTTTTAGGACACTGCTAGTTGTCCTGTGAGCACTTTGGGTGGCCTAGCAGCTCGGTGAGTTGGTTTTAAATATCTTATATGTATATCATATAAATATATTATACAAAAATTTAATTTTTAGCATACAATTTATGACGGACGAGCTGCAAACGCTTAAAACTGAACTTAATGAACTGCAGCAGATTATTGATGAATACAGGAATCAGGATACAGGAGTTCCCATAGCAACCAGATTGTAAGTTGAATATTTAAGTTAAGATCACAAATATTTTGTTCAATGTTTTTTAATATAGTTTTACTTAAATGAGGCCTGCAGCGGAAATGTACTTGAATTACTTCGAAATTTAAATATATTTTAAAAATACAATAATTTAAATTTATACCTTAATTTTTAGACTCCGCCCATTGCCAGCTAGTCTGCAGACCTTTCCCTTGGCCCTGGCCACGCCCACTGACGATACGCCCCGGAATTGCTATGACGAAAAGCACGGCGAGGTGAGGATCAGGATTGCTCCGGATATGGAGCCCTTCTTCGTGAGCTGCGACCAGATGGTGAGAGATGGCGGCTGGTTGGTCATCGCATACCGGTTCGATGGCAGTGAGGAATTCAACAAGGATTGGCAGGCCTATAAGTCTGGTTTCGGACCCCTCAACGCGGAGTTCTTCATCGGAATGGATAAGCTGCATCGCCTGACCAACAGCGAGCACCACGAGTTGCTCATTATCATGAAGAATAAGAACGGGGAGGAGCGTTTCGCCCTCTACAATCACTTTAGTATTGGCAGCGAATCGGAGAAGTATCTGCTATATGTGCTTGGCGCCTACACAGGAGATGCTGGTGACTCGCTGCGTTATCATGCCGGCAAGAAGTTCACCACCTACGACCAGGATAACGACGACAATGGGCAGAACTGCGCCAGGACTCACGCAGGAGCCTGGTGGTACGGAAGAGAGTGCTTTGAGAGGTGAGCGCAAAATATATAAATATATATATATATAATTTAAAAAAAAAAGATTTATTCTTCTCTATAATTTATAAAAAACTATAAGAAATTATTAGCTGTTTGATTGCATTTATTAAGTTGTGTTCGAAAATAAAATAATGAGTGCGAATTTAAATATAACTTAAATGTTAACTCCCAAATAAATACAAAATGTTATAGAGAAGTTAAAAAAGTGAAATATGAATTTAGTAAGCCCAATAGATTACTTAATAAGAAAACCTGTTAAGCCAGACTGACATGTTTTATTCTCAGCTGAAATTAATATAGTTCCCAGAAAGTAGATTAGTGTAAACCCCAAGTAATAATTATATTATAGACTAGATATGCACAAACAAAATTAATAAAATAATTATTTTATGTAACATTTGGAAGTCTGCTTTAAATATGCCAAATAATTGTGCATGTGTTTAATCAACTATTTGATTCACGATTAGTAGATAAGAATATATATACGAACAAAATTAACAAAATACTAATTTGGTGAAGTAATTTTAACTTTCATATAAATATGTAAGATAACTGCCTATACGTTATTAATCAACTATTTTATTCAACTCTGTTGCAGCAACCTCTTTGGCACATTCCAGTCGAAGTACGGCCACGAGATTGGCTACTTCAAGGGCATCCTGTGGAAGACCTTCCTGCCAGGACCCACCGGTTCGCTCAGCTACGTTCGCATGCTCATCCGACCGCTCAAGAAATCGTAGAGGAAACTGGGAAATTCAATTGCAAAGACTCCTTAGCCATAGACTACAATAAATGTCGACTATTTAGTAATTCAAGATACTTGGAGAATAGTTGGGCAATTGTTTTGTGGGGCATGGGGCATTTCTCCCGCTGCTCTGCTTGGGTGATTGCAAACGGGTTTTAATTATTGCAATTATTATATATTTCGCATTAAGCGATGTTCAATTAATTGGCGAACAATACACAACACACAGACACACACACACACACACAGAGGGGAGTTGGGGAAATAAGGCCGCTCATTAATGGCATATTATCATGAGAAATTTTCGTTCTGCTCATTTGCATACAAAGGGGGCAACAGGATGGAGCGGGGATGTATTGCTAAGCAACGGAAATTGTTTTCTCTAAAAATAAGCACACAACCAAACGAGCCGTTCCATATGCACTTACCAATGCTAATGATATCGAACGGCCCGCACTGCGTATACGTAATGCCTGGCAGAGCACGGGGCGTATGCGTAATGCGACTGTCATTGGCACCTAGCTCGCCATGCCTCCTTCTTCTCCTCCTCTTACGCTTAAGAAATACGAGTATAAGAAAACTTTGACAACACACCCCCCTCTCCACAGGATAAATTTCATAAATTTCATGCAGAGCTACTGAATGTGGAAGAGGAACGGGAGAAGGATGACTTCCACGATGAAGACGGGGGCAAATAAGCTCCTGTGCAATTGTGTGCCAAATTCAATAAATAACAAGAGAAAGTTGGGTAGCCATTGGACCCAACGAACGGATAATACTCTAACTATAAAGATGAGAGTTATTTTCCTTTATTATTTCTTCATTAACACAATAAATAGGAATTTGTAAAATTGACATAAATAAATCAAGATATTTTTTTCTTTTTATATTGTTGCCTATAATAAATATAAAATATAAATATCAATTTTCCAGAATAGGACAAACACAATTTAAATTTACTTACAATAAAATCTAGTTGATGATATACATTGAATATTCATGAATTTAGTTTTATAAATATAATAGATTCTAAGAACAATCGAAACGTTGCGGTGGAAATTGTTTGGAAATTCCAAAGAAAATGCTTGTTTTAATTCAAGATATTATATAATGCAAATTAATTAAATAGATACCCCAGCAAACTACTTTAGATAGTTGGCATACCCAATTTATTCCCGGATCATTGGTCGACATGATAGTAAATAAATTTGTTCACTCGAATTCCGAGAGCCCCCAACTTTTTGACAGAGTCTGAAAATATTAAACAAAGCGCACGATTCGGCAAACTCGGCTGACAATGAAATGTTGGCCGAGGGTGCCGGAGCTACTTCATCAACTTCTTCCACCTCAACTTCAACTTGCACTTGTTTGGCCTTTGTTTCGATTGTGTTTTTTCCTGCTTTTTTTCTCCTCCCCCCCGTTTTTCCCCTGTTTGTGTTTTCGGGTGTGTTCTTGTGTTTTTTGAATTTTCATAAAACTTTTGCTCGTTTGCCGCTAATAAATTATTTTCGGGGCGCAAAAAGTTGGCCGGTGGCGTGGCTCGAGTCAGCCGCTCTAAGCTGTCCGCAGAAGGGACATTCCTCTGGGGAAGGACTTCGATACCGATTCCACAAACTGCATATTGTCCTGGACCCAGGACATTACAATCCTCGTTTGCCGTTGTTTGTTATTCCTGTGTGTGCGCTTTGTTCATAAATAATTTGCGCCACAACTCAATTTCATGAGCGTAAATCACTGTGTGGTCACTTGGCACCACCACCCACGATTTGACCTACCTCCCCTCACCCCCCTCGCCAACCCCACCCCTCACCCCACCACACCACATTGTTTCACTTTTTCTTTTCAAATAATTCCCCGTCTTGTTTCGGCTTTATTTCCACGTTGTTTTCCTTGCCGGCCATTTACCATACAATTCCTTATTTATGTACTGGCCAGAAAAGTTTTCCCTCTTCATTGATGGAAAGACAGTCTTGTGACTTTGTTGTCTTATGTGTGCTGGGGGGTGTTAAATCAACACAAAGTTGCCGCAAACTTTTCAATTGGCTTGACAAATATAAAGAAATTTACAATATCGCTTTCAAGGCGCAAAAAAAAAGGGACAAAGGACTCGGGTCAAAGACGGCGGAAGAACAATCAAATTTCGAATGTCCAAGGCATATGGTTTTTTTTCGGCAATAATAGAAGTGATTTTTCTCTCTTTATCTGTCTTTATCTTCTTTTTTGTGACTTTTTTTTTTAGTTTTGATTAGCTTGCCTGACTGGCTATAGTTTGCTTAATCAGAAAAGCATTACCTTTAATTATATAAATATAAAAGTTACGGTTTGTTCGTGTTAGAATTTAACAACTCCAAGCCTATTAATAAGAAATATTATTTTTTAAAAACTTAAAAATATAAATATTTTTATATGATAACAAAGACATCTATTACCTTTCAAATAAGGAAATAATAATAAATATCTTACACTATTTATTTAAATGGACTTAACACTTTTCTATTTGAAATTACTATTAATTGCATCGCAAGCTTTTTTACTTAACCACCATCAAATAAAAAATCTAGGAGGAAATCAAACAATCTTCTGCAATCCAAGACGGAAATCGTCACTTGATCGTCCTTCGGGGAAAGTTAACTTGGCTTTTCCGCTATCTCCAATCCACAATCCCTCACCCCCTCGCCCCCCAACCCTTAACCCTTAGGGGGTGGCTAAGTGTATGCAACAACACTTTAATGCCCTGCTACGCATTCCACACATGAAGTTGCAATAAAAACAACATTACACTAAATTCTCATATTTCTCTGGCGCCTCTCTTCCCTTCTTTTTTCCCAGCTTGTTTATTTCCAGCCCAAAAAAAATGGGGCGGGGAAAGACGGAAAGTGGAAAAAGGGGGCGGGGCATCAGGGTGTGCTGGCTGATTTTCCCCTTCAGACCGGCAGCAATAAATTGCAATTCCAAGTCACTTAAATTGCAACAAATAACAGGAGGCAGCTTGACAGCGAGAAAACGCAAACTGAGCAGCAGCCCCGTGAGATGTCAACGTGTTAAAGGCTGACAAAGGGGCAAAGGACCGCGAGGGGCAATCAGGGGTTAAGGCAGTTTGCTCAGGGGATCCGCAGGGGACTTTCATCCCATTTACCTTTTGGTTTCGTAATTATAGTGATTTCTTTTTGGGCTTATTAAGAATTTAAGACTAAAGCGGTAACATATTTATACGTAGTCCGATTTATATTTTATTTTATGGTTAATCTGCATTAAAATATGTCATTTTAATGTTGGCTATTTTTTTATACAAAGGTAAGATAAGGATCTATCTTTCCTTGCTTCTTTCCCATCTTGTTTGCTATTCTTCTTCCCCATTTCATTCCACATCCCTTTTGGTTTGTTGTCATTCCATTTGGTTTATGTTGTGCAATTGCTGTTGCCACTCACCAAAAGGCAATAGTGAAATTCAGCAGTCAACAGAAAGTGTCAACGGTGATGCATGGACCAGATTTGTTGGACAGCGCCTTAGAAAACTTGGCTCTTATTGCATTTGGCCAAAGATAAACTTTTATGAGCAGCTCTGACGCTGATTTATTTATATTGAGAATTATGCTGGCCAACGGACCAGCTCGCCCGCCGCAATTGCAATATTTAAATAGACATAACTATAAAATTTTATTTAAATGTGCATTTGCTTTTAGCGGCGAAAAACAAAAACGGAATGAAATGCATTAAAAATGCATTTACAACGAACCGCAAATGGCGGCAGGTGTGGTCAGGTAGCCGGGGTCAATGGGGGTCAGGGGGCGTGGCAGAGCCAACATGCCACGTAAAGCCGAGTGGGTAAATAAAAAAACTTAGATTAATGCCAATGGCAAAAGCAAAAATGCTCGAAAGGGATTAGCATATGAAATAAGTGAATGCAGTGGGAAAAAGTTGAAGTCATATTAAAAATTTAATAATGACTATATTATTTTTCAGGTATCGTATTAAAAAAAATATTTATAAAATGTGAAATCTTATGTATATTTGAAATTGATCTAAAATTTGTTCTTAGCTGATAATAGGTTATATTGTAAAGTGTGATTGATGAAACCTTTTTTTTGAATTTAAATATTTAACTTTTGAAGATTTTGTTAACCAATGCATTTCTCGCAGTGCAGCAGGGATTAATATGTTTTCCCAATAAACACTGTTTGCTCACGTATTTAATGAAATCGATTTAATTTGTTTTCCAGCTAAATATTGTCCATAAATAAATAAAGGCCAACTGTTGACCATTTTTTTTTCTGCAGTTTCCATTTGGCCAGCGAAGCCTGAAAGTTGGCTTCAATTAGTTGACGGATCAACTGGAACTAGCCCCGACCTTCCCCTCCATTCTGCACATTTCTCTCCATTCTTTTTTTTCCAGCTATTTTCTCCTCTGTTCTCTTTTGCCGGAGTGGCCTCTTAATTAAAACGAAATGTTCACAGCCGCTTGGGCAATTCAGTTAGTTTCAATCTTCCCGCTCACCTGGCCATCACCATCCCCATATCCCCCGATTCCCCCTGATCCAAGTGCCATATATAACTCATAACGATTCGGTTGGCAAAACGGCAATGCGAAAAAAATCCGACACAAAAAAAAAAAAGATTGCAAACAGAATCCCGAAAAAATTGGTCAGCCCCAATGGCTAAGCAGTCTGTGCCAGAAACAAAAAAAAGAAAAACGTACAAAAATTGGCAAAAAAGAAATGCAACTTTATGCGTGTGCTCCACACAAAAACATAGAAAAAGGAAGCGGGGGATTCCCATTTTTTGTGAGCTTGGCGAGGGCAAAAAGCTAAACAATGACAGCTGCAGCTGACGCGATGGTTGGGGAGGAGGGGAGGAGAGGGGGGGTTTAGGGGGTTAGGGGGTGTTAGGAAGCTTCGGCAAAAAAGGGGGTTTCCCCGGCATTTACTTACGGTCGAACGCACTTCATCTGGAAACCATAAAATTGAAAAATGCTGCAGCGAACAAGGCAAAAGAGCGAGGCCATGGCAATGATGGCTCAACGAGGGGCTGCCAAGGGGTTAAGGGTGGTCTCGGGGGGTTAAGGGGTTCTTCCGAC